AGTGGCAGGATTCGGCGATTGACCTCTTCTTCACGCCTCATGTTCAGTCTGAGTCAAAGAGAACACCTAGGCAGTGAACCTGTGTGGTGGAGCTGAGGGAGGAAAGACCAGAAGTTCTGTTTTGGACAAGTTGAGCTTAAGGAAGTGGGCAGCCATCCAGTTAGAAATAGCAGAGAGGCAGTCAGAGACACTAGTCAAGAGGACAGGTAGATTTGCATGTCATCCGCATAGAAATTATATTGGAAGCCAAAGGTAATGAGTTTACCAAGAGAGGCAGTATAGATGGAGAACAGTAGGGGGACCAAGGACTGAACCTTGTTGGACACCAACACAGAGGAGTTAGGGAGAAGAAGCAGGGCCAGAGAAAGAAACACTAAAAGAGCACTGGGAGAGGTAGGAGGAGCACCAGGAGAGAGCAATATCTTGTAGACCGATATTGCGGAGGATGCGAAGAAGCTGTTGATGATCAACAGTGTCAAAAGCCGCAGAAAGGTCAAGGAGAAGAAGGATATAGTAGGGACCATGAGATTTTGCAGCGAGTAGATCATTGGATAATTTGGTCAGTGCAGTTTCCACAGAGTGCTTAGCGTGGAAACCAGACTGAAATGGGTCTAGCAGAGAGTTGTCCTCGAGGAAGTATGTCAATCTCGCATACACAACTCTTTCAAGGATCTTGGATGCAAAAGGCAGTATCGAGATAGGACAGTAGTTGGATGGGGAGTTAGGGTCAAGGTTGAGCTTCTTTAGAATTGGGGTTAGTGTTGCATGGTTTAAGGGCGATGGAAATATGCCAGAGGGGGGAAGAGAGAGAGAGATTGAGAATTTTAGTGAGAGGTAGAGAAAGAGAAGAAGACAGAGTACGGATGAGATTTGAGGGAATTGGATCTAGGGAGCAGGTGTTGGTGCGGGAGGACTTGTGCAGAGCGCAAACCTCTTCAGCTGTAGCCATAGCCACCAGAAGAACTTCCGGGTTCTTAAAACCTATGCTATGCATGAGGACCTCCAGCGGGGGGACCTCCAGCGTCCCCGGAATCCCCATATGAAAGCATTCAATAAAGCATTTAGCATTTAGGTCTCCCCCGTCGATAGGGGAGGAGCATGGGCAGCGCCTGACCCAGCGCCGAGGGACATCACGCTGGATTCAGGTAAATAGCTGAAGGGGTTTTGACCCCTTCAGCAACATGGGATGGGGGGTAGGAGGGAGAGGGGCACTGCAGATATGTTTGTAATGTTATTGTTTTGATGTATTTAACTCATTAGGTGTTTTATTGATCATGTATGTTTTTGTATATGTTTTATGTATATTTTTGTGTGTGGAATGTATTGATATTTGAGGTCATGCCTTATGTTTTGCACACATGCCTCATCATTTGATTTGGACACAGGACTTTGGTTGTATTTTCACACCACACCATATACATAAGGTTGATGTTATGTGTTTTAGTTTGATAAACAATCCGGAACATTGATTTCTCATTACTTATAAATCTGCCATGGAGTACGTTTCTGACTTTGCGCGTGTGTGGTCCTCTCTGCGATTGTGGATGCCCTAACTTCTGCCGTCTTATTTTTGTATGCATATGATCTTAAAGCTATACAATATTTTCAGGGAGAGGGATTCATCCCCCATTCCCTCCCAGTTCCTACACCCATGTGCAGGGCTGGTCCTATGGTCACAGGCGCCTGGGTGCAGAATTTTTTTTGGTGCCTCCCAGGTGGGCGCATTCATCTTTCTAACCCCTCTCCATCTAGACAGACACTAGCTGACAGTCACACACACTCACTGATTTGTCACACACTGACTGAAACATACTCAGACAGAAACATTGACACACACTCTCAATGACATACTCAATCTCACTGATTTGAAACACTCACTGACAGAGACAAATGCTGACAGACACACAGTGGTACACAAAACAAGGAAGTCCAGCACTCTGCATTTTAAGTCTCAACATAATATAAAATAATCACACAATTACACACTGCCCCATGCATACCTAGACAATCACACACTATACAATACACACACATTCACACTGTTATATGGACACTATCAGACAGACACACAAACACACACTCTCTCTCAGTGTCTCATATACACACAGTCCTTGCTGTCATGAACACTGGGAGGAGGAAAGAAGGCCAGGGTCCCTAGTGTGTAGTGGGAGGCAGCTATTCCTTTTTTTTTTGCTTCCCCTCTGTGCAGCAGCAGCTCTAGAATTGGTGACGCCATCTGGAACAATCATCCCTATAAACTCATTTGTATAAATTATTTTTTAATGCAACTGACAAACACACATTCACTGACACACATACATACACACACACACAAACACTGACAGATACATTTACTGACAAAAACACACACTGACAGACATACACTCACTGACAGACACACACTTACTGACACATACACGCTTACACAGTCTTGCACACACACTCACAAACTAATTGTATTGTTTGTTGCTCCTACCTTTTAGGAGTCTTCTGGGTCCTCTCCCCGGGGTCCAGTGACTTTCATGATCTTCCTGCTCCTCTCTCCTCCCTCGCACTGTTTAGTGAAGCCGGGCCGGAATAATGTCATATTCCGGCTCCAGGCATCACCACAGAGGGCACACAAGGAAACAGGAAGATCATCAGCACAGGCTACCGCCTGCCTCCTTCCTCACCCGACCGGTATATTGCTGCAGATTAGGCACCCGCTTTCTTGGATAAGCAAGTGCCTACTCTGCCTTGCTACATAATCGCCAATCCAGGGGCGCCCTTAGGTGACCAGCTGGCCATGGATCGGCCCTGCCCATGTGTGTCTGTCTATATAATAATGTAGATCCTATTAGCCATTTTAGTCCAGTAGACAAGATTCCAAAATAACCAGAATATTGCATACAATGATACCTTTTTTTATAATATTTAAAAGCTTAGCTTAATTTGCTTGTTTTATATCAGGGGTTCTAATTAGACATGCTCAATGGGAGAAAACCAGGAATGACATGGCCCTGGTGTAAGAATCAGAGAAGGGCCCCTTACTGTCCCATACTTGCTCCAATACACCTGGGTGGGATTTGTGTAGTGGCTGAGTGTGTTTTTGTGTAGGGCTTGGCTGGTGTTACTTGTATGTGTGGAGTTGGCGGAGTGTGATTGTGTGTTGTTCCTGTAACAATTTGTAATTGTCTAATTTATTGTGAAATAGCCCCCTTTTATAATATTGTAAAGCGCTGCTGAATAACTTGGCGCTCTAAAAATGCCAATATTAGTAATGTATGATTGTATATGGAGTTTGGCTGCCTGTGAGTGTGGAGGGATTGGCCCTGCTTGGGATCCCTTCCCTAAACATGACAATCCCCCATGCTGAGGCTAACATGCTGGCTTCACTACCCCCACACTGACATCAGTACCTCCTATACTCCTCCAGCAACACAATGATTGGGATCAAGAGGACCACATATTACTCAATCTATGGCATTAGACCCTGTATGCCATTGGCACACATGCTTAACATTAAGGATTTGATTGACTGGTAGGGGAGGGACCGTATTTTTAAAGCTCTTTAAATTAAAATCTATACATTTTCTAGTGTTTATGCAAGCAAAATGAACAGATGGGATTTAATGCTCTTTAATATATACTTATTAGGACACACGCTCTCACTGATACACATACACTGACAGACACAGTCATTGGCACATACACTTTGAACAACACACTTTCACTGACACACGCTGTCACTACTACACACACTCACTGACAGACACAGTCATTGGCACAGACACACACTGACACCAACTCACTGAAAGAATTCGCAAATACACATAAACTGGCACACACCCCCAATGAGACACTCAAATTCTCTCAAACTCAGAAAAAAATTATTTTTATTTAAGTCCACCAAGTTTTCCTATCTTTGGAAAAGCTGCAGTAGATCCTTTCAATGGGGTCAAGTGGGGTTGTTGCTATGCTGTTTTCTTAATGTTCTTTTTGCTCTGCTCCCTTGCATCATTTAGTGATGCTGGTGCCAGAGTGACGACATATTCCAGCTCCCAGCATCACCACAGGGTGCACAAGGGAGCAGAGCAAGTAGAGAATGGAGTTCCTTCCTTCATTGCGCACAGCCACAGCACATATTATATCAAATTTATTTTTCCAGACAAACTTACTAACGTTAGCAGTGTCAAGTTTCTTAAAGGGTTACTCCCAGTAGCAAAACTACAGGGGTCGGAAGTGCGACCAGGTCCTCGGTGTTCCTCCTGTAACGGAGGAGCAAGAGCTGGTCACATTAGGGCGCTGCCGAGGCGGGTGGCTAAGTTTGTCTTTAAGTTCATTTAAATTACACTTTAATTTTACTCCACCTCCGTTTAAACACTCTCTATTTAATGGAAATATAAAGCACCTGTTTCTAAGCATCCCTGCCACACATTGCTTGTTCTTCAGCATCCAGTGCACAAAATGACATGTCGCTAGAATACCAATTTGTGATTTTAAGTGGAATTCTTTAATTTAGTAGCTCTTAAACCCATCTACATTTTAATATGAACTGGAAAAAGATTTCAGCTAAACATTTTTGTGTTCTTCAATATGCAGACATAAATTCTTATCCATGCTGCTTAAAATGACTCTATAGGCACCCAGACCGCTTCATCTCAATGAAGCCCACCCCACATCCCTCATTTTAAACCTGCAGCTGACAGCGTTGCGGTTCTGCAGAAAGGCAATGTTTTCATTGCAGGGTTTAAGTGACTCTAGTTGCTGTCACTCAGACAGCCACTACAGGTGCTACTGAGGAAATAGCAGTACTGTGTCTTGCCATGCATGCGCACTAGTCTCCCAATGCATTGTATTGACTGAGATCATAAGTCCAGTGTGGAGATGGGTGCTGAGAGGTAGAAAAGGTAAGTAAAACTATTTTGGTATGTTTCTTTCTTTTTTTCACTGTAGGGGGAGGCCGATCATCTAAATGGCCCTAGGGAACTATACACACCTGTATTCCTAATGCTATAGTAGTCCTTTAATGCACGCCTGATATAAGGAGAATATCTCAATATTAAGCCCACAGGAGTTTGCATCTGTACAAATAGAATAATGACTGACACCAAAAAAATACAACAGAAACTACAGTCCATTAAAAAAAAACACAGAAAAAACAACTTTATTGTTTTTGAGAAATATACGATGTAGTTGATGTAAACATAAACAATATTACAAAAAAGAAAGACAAACTGTATCTTACAATTTCCAAGATGTAACTGTGTGACTCCTTATCTAAGCTCTCGAAACAAATACTAATCTAGCTGGATCACTATATTTGACAAATGTTGTTTAAAGAGTTTAGAGACAATATGTTTAGTTTCTAAAAAAAATAATAATTTTATTCTTTATTTCAACATAAATATTACAAAATATAAGCTCATTTAGCACCACTTTGGTCTGTGAAATACACACATTGGGAGCTGAAATTCAATAACAAAAGTTAAGTTAAACATGTGTTTCTTATTTTTCTACATTTCTAAACCAAAGCTGGACAACAGCTTCCCTTTGGCTGACTGAGGTCCCAAGACACAGCTAGAATATTATCACATCATGTTACACTGCAACAGACCCATATCTTGTGAAAATTAGTTTTCTTGTTTTATATGAGAATATGCTAATTTCAATGATCCATTATCTCCTGATCTCCTATGTAGAATGAGTGAAGATTTAAAATGATACACTTGTAGTTTCTTTCAAAATAATAGAATGAAAGATTGTTTTTTACAGACGTCACTGTAAGTCTAAATATGATAATATAGTATAGCTACTTCTGCAAAACTATCCCATTGTAATGACAAAATATCAACTCTCCTACATGCACCTCTGCAATCGCTCAAAAAACCCCTTTATTTTTTCAAAATTATGGCCAATTACCATTCAGCATGTTAACAGAAATGGTACCTGATACAGTCTATAAAATACAAATTCCTAAGACGGTTTAAAAGAAAAAAAAAAAACAGCTCTCTTTCGGAAATTGGATTTTAATGTTGAGGTGAAATTCAACATATTACATTTTCATAAATTTATAAAATACTAATTTTGTTTCCTGCATTTTATTATTTTCTTAAAAGATATCAGTAAACTTCTGTCATAATCTGTTCTAATACAATTAATCTTCCAAACTTTCCATCTTCCACTTTACTTTTTGCATTCCTTCACGCAAACGTTTTCTGAAAACCCATACAACGTCAAATAAATGAAACCTATGAACCAGCGGTCAATTCACTTACGAAATCCTTTGCTGCACTTCGCTCTCGACTCCCTCATTCTCAGACACTCGCTCTAACCCTCTTCTCATTCGATAAACACAATAGTTCTCATATTACTCTGAATCCTAGTTTAGTATATTCTATACATTAATCTGCAGGCTTTGCATGAAACCGATCACCTGTATACCAGAAGATTTTTGTGACTTGCAGCCAAACACTTACAGGGTTTTTACTAAAGGTAGGATTTCAGGGAGTTCCTGTTGGCAAGATACAATATAAGGCATGATGAATATATAATCACACCTCCGTCACAAACCGTTTGCAGTTACCTGCATATCACAGTTTTAAAACAAAGTTTGTATAGTCAAGAAAACAGACTTTTCTGATAGGAGGCATATGGCCTGGTGCATGTGGGATATCAGACGTCTAGTAATTCTAGCCCTGTAAGATTACCAGTATTTTTGCCATTTAAATTCAACAACCATCTGTCACGGTCTGCCAGAAGACGACGGGTACCATAGTGCATCAAAATGCTGTAAGGCAAGATCTCACCTAATCCACATCTACTGATAGACATTTGGTAAGGGTGGGTAAAATTTACCAGTCAAAAAAAGAAATCCATCACTGTTCTCATCCCATCAGAGAATTTTATTCTTTTAATAGAGGACAAAACTTTTGTGACGATAAAAAAAAAAGCAATGCAAGTAATTACAGTAATTTGATTTTGTTCTAATTTTCCACTTAAAATTACAAATGTAATACAGATGTTAAATTACAGAGATGGGACATTTCAGAAGCCATTTTATTTTAGTTTCCTGTGACATGTCAAGATGTCAAATGAGGATCTGAGAACCTCTGACTTGACTGAAGTACAAAGTATGAGAACAGTATGAGAACAGTGCAGAGCTGCCTTCTACTGAAAGATACAAAGTAGTCATGTCTTCTAGAACTACTCTTAGATTTCCAAATAATGTCCATTTAAGACTCAACAACTTGATACATACATGTTGATTTATCTTGGCTTCCTTTATAACAACTCCCTTTCTTTAAAGCCTACATCTATAGTTGGACAGCAAAGTATGAGCATTCAAAATCACCTCAGCTCTTCAAGCACTAGAGTTGTGTAACTACAAATACATTTTTTTTTTAAGAAAAACCACAACTTAAGCTTAGTTACGATAATTATTCTACAATAACTATAGACAATGTTTCATTAAAAAACTTGCATCAGTACAGAGACATTGTATATCTCTGTATGAACATGGCAAGTTTGATGTCCATTTCGTAGAATGGGTATCTCTCCCAATTTACTGTCACCTGGCTCATTTTATGCTTTAAGAAGGTTTTTATGGCTTTGACGTGCTTTCCGTAAAGTTGTCTATTGATATTACCAGATCTATTGATCTTACATCCCAGTGTATTGAGCCAGACTACATTTTTGAGTTTGCAATGCTAGATAATTTAAAGAACAACAAAACCAAAAAATACCGAAGGCAGTAAATTGGTAATGGCTTATTCTCCACTTATAGTCTAAGAACAATGTATTCCAGATGTTCTAACTGTAACCAGTTTTCCAATGATGCCATTACAGGATTCCATGTTTTTGTCCACAAAACATGAATATGACAACCAAGTTGCAAAATTTAAACAGAATTGTCTAGTTGGTAATTTTAGTTTTTCCCTAACTGTATCAACTCACCCCAACTCACTGCTTGAATTCATGAATCCAGATTTTTTTTTCCCCCCATTTTTAAAAACTTCTTGTTTTAGGTTAAATATAAGCTCCATTAACCTATGTGGTCTCTGACATTTATATTTTGTAATATATATGGTTTATAAATGACTTTTTTTTTTTAATGGTAAACATAGAAAAATCACACAGTCCTTATAATATTGTAAGTTCAAGGATTACTCGTTGCCTATTAAGTGAATTATTCCCAAGTAGTTTCCAGTTAATTTTAATTTTTACCAATTGTTACTTTTATTTTTTTAGCCTTAAAAGTTCAATCAATGCACTAATTGAGGCTTGTTCCAAGCAGCTGTGCTATCTACCGGTCAACCATAATACACTTAGCTGCGTATTCAATAAACATCTCTTTACTGGCAAGTTGGAAACCGTTTATACAATGTAGGACAAAAAAATCCTCCTCATTTTTTTTTTGTCGAATCCTACTATTGTGACCTAAATTTTGAGACTTTGTTGTCTATTCATCACAACTCATTTTAGTGAATAAATCCTAATGATTGACTTGTTGAGGCCTTCTATTCACCATGGCCAAAAAATAGTTACCATGTTTTTCTGAACACTTTACTTTTTCAGGATGGACATGCCCTGCAAAGTAATGCTTGGAGGCATATATCATTCAAATGCAACAGGAGTAAATAGTCACAATCACACTGGAATTCAGAAGGAATTGCCTACTCTATTTTTTTTTCTCCCTAAAATATATGAATAATATATATAATAGGGCAGTACCCATCATGATGGGTGTTCAGAAATACATGAAGTATCCGTATACCGACCTTAAAATAGTTTGGTAGGCTTTATTGATTTAACACTTCCACTACCAGGGAGCAGGCAGGCTTCGACACACAATGAATTGGCCCTACAAAAAGTTACAGGTAGATATCACAGCTGCTGTATTGACGAACAGGAATCTCAACTCAGGACAGTGGTGTCTTGTGCTGTTAAAGGCAGATATGTATATGCCAGTGTGAAGCTAGCTATACACATTGTTAATAATTGCACTCTTATTTAGAACCTGCTAAACTGACTGGATAACTCTAACATAAATTAAAAAATAATAATAATAATTGGGACCAGCCCAGTGCTGAATCTGAAACAAGGACAAAACCAGTCTGTGGTCTGCCACGTTCGATGACTAATCTGTAGTGCTCCAGCTGTTGTCATACACTCAGCCAAATGGTGAGCTGGGCATTGTGGGCACGTAGTCCACAACAGTTGGAGTTCACCATTAACAATATTTTCAATCAACTGAGATTTGTTTCCCCATTGAGTAAGTATCCACCTTTTCCACTAACCCAAAACAATTTTAATATGGTCCCAATCATCAGAAACATTTAGCCTTTTGAATATTTTGATAGTTTTTTTTTTTCTTTGTGCATTTTTTTTTTTTATAAAAATGTTAGGAGATTCAAGCACTTTATTGATACACAAATTTCACTTTACAAATTAATGGCTGTTAATATAACAGCATTCTTTACAAAAAAAAAATAATGTTACTGGGCATTTAGCTGACCATAAATGGGGTGGAATTTCAGGCAGTAGTAGCAGAACTCGAGTTACTATTAAAATATATATATTCCAGGCCTGGGTCTAACTAGCATTGCTTAATGCTGCCTATTTGTAGATTTTAAATGGTTTAAAATGTGTTTCTTAACGTAACCATGAGCTCTGCTCCATAGGCCCTGAACTGAGGTAACATTGTCAAACTGGCTTTTCTAAATCTTGTCATTGCTCCATAAAATTTTTCTAGTGCAAAAAAATGAAGATCTGTACAGATTTTTTTACCTCCAGTGTAGACACTGTGGCCTTGGGAGTGGTGGCAAAATATTACAAACTACAAGAATTGTTAAGCTTGGGGGTCCAGTGGCTTTCCAATCCCCCTGCCATTTTATGTTTTACGCTCAGCTGCTTTTTCCACAAGTGGATGAAATACTATCTTATCTAAGGATAACCCTTCCAGTGGATTTCAGCAAGTTAAAATGTTAACGTTGCAGTAGGGTTTTTGTTGGTTCCCTGAGTGGACTCCTTAAAAACCCCAGGTGTGATTATTTATTTATTTTTAGCACCATTTTATTATTAACCCTGAGTCTCCTGTAAATATTCTTCAATTTCTAATATTTAGTTAGAATTAGACCCTAAAAGTGCAGAATTTCTTTTAACCCCCCAATTATCCTGTTTGTTCTATAAAATCAAATTAAGAGACAATCCCCTTGTTCTAGCTACCTAGAGAGTGCCCCTATTTTGCAGACTTTTTATTATAACAATTATTTTAAAATATTAATTATTGAGAGGCTGCACTGAAAAGGAAGTGGTGTGAAGAAGCACTTGGATCAGATTAAAAAGGACCTGAGATTTTTCACTTAGGGAAAATAAAGAAGTTGTGTATATAGTAGACTTCTTATTTCATTTTTCTCTCTGCAAAATACTGGGTTTCAATTTTGTTTGGTGTTAGGATTGGGTCGCCTCCTTTTTCTCCTCTTAAAACTACCTAGCCATGTAAACATTCCCCCAAATAAATTACCAGGAATAACTCATTGGACAACCCAATCAAGCCAAAATTGCAAGATTAGCTGCCTTTACCACAGAGCCTTTTTCCTACCTCACTGCAAGCTATACAGCTTCCTTTTAATCTTTTTCTGGAGTGCGTTTTTCAATTACAACTTTCACACTGTGCACACCACTTTTGAGGGCTAAATTCAACTACAGCAATGTCCAAAGGAAAATGTAAAGAATTTACTAACCCTTAAAATGTATCAAAGGTTGGTTGGTACCTACTCATCATTACATTCCTCCAATGTGCATTGCTACAGTTTAATCACCACTTTAAAAGTCCTGGATGAGTAACCTGTGTTCGTAAATATAGAATTTTAGTTTTTAATATTTTTCTTATTGCACGTATCCTTTTTATTAAAAAAATGTTTTGGATATTATTTCATCTTATTTTGTTTCCTATGAGAATACAAAATTATTACGGTTACAAAACAATGCAGAATAAGACAGAGTATAGGTTAATAAAAGCTATCTACACATTAAATACAATAAATGTACTACTGCAAATTCTGTAAATAAAAACACGTTTTTGACTGCTTTAAGCGCTATGAAATTCCCTCGCATTTCATACATACTTGATAAAACGCCATAGCAGTCATTTAATGCAGAAAACATCAGTTAAATATATTTTTACTAAAATGCAGCTCAAACATCTGAAAGTGATTGCAAAAAAATGCTATAAAATGCCATCGTCTGTGTTACTTCTCCTAAGTGATTAACAATAATAAACAAAAAAAAGTTTGATATGAAAAAGTGCCAAATTATACTTTGGTGACGGATTAATTTCAACCAGCTGATTATATGGACAAGACTTTCGGTTACAAAGGGAAAATATCTTCTATCAAAATATCCTAAAATTCACTGCGTATAAAACATGCTAACATATGATGGATATCTTGATACTCATTTGGAACATAATACAAATAAAAAATGCTACCCATTCTGCATAAACCGCTACTCATGCTTTATAGCTAGTAGTGCAGTGAACACAAGTTCACTTTTTAACCGTATGCTGTTCTCAGATAAAATAAAGGGGATTCATAAAATAAAGACTAAAGTCCCTATTAAAAATAAGAAACCAAAAACCTGAATGTGTCTTGCGTTTGAGGTTATATCAGGCTGTAATAAATCTACAACTCCTTAATCACTGGCTGGGTCAACTCTGCTAGCAGTTCAGCATCTGATTCAGAGTAATTATAACTTAATACACCCAATACTTAAATTCACATTATTATATAATGTGTCTAACTAGAGGGGAATTGTAACTGGAAGTCTGACAGTTTTAAAATGTATGTATCCACTTCTGCTGATGTGTATTTCCACAACTGAAAGAACTATGTACTCATTCTTTTTTTTCTAGCAACATATTAAATATGATTCAATATGTGATGTGCCATTGTTCTATGTAGAGTCTGATATTAATGTTGAAGGTTTGGAATGGATAGTTTATTTATGCATTGAGATGAGCATGATGAATCTAATGGAGTCTGTAATTTGCATACATTGTGACTGTTTCAGGGACTTCAAAACCCCCCAAAAGCGATATATGCACACTATTGCAGATCTCTATGGGAGTTGGGTTTTATTTATTTATTTAAGCTGATAAATACTATAATCATTGCTTCTGCCCAAGAGTTGTGAGAATTTAAGAGCAGGGCTTATTTTTGTGTGTTTCAGGAACTTCCAATTGAGTTCATCATGCTGTTCAAGCAATATAATGGGCAAAACGGGCATAGTGTCACTATGCTCTGTTAGGCTCTGCCATTTGGCCCTGCCTCCTTGGCTGAGATCATCAGTTCTGATTATGTCAGCCAAGGAGGCGGGTCAGGTGCAGCAGACCCGCCCGGTGCTGAAAAAAAAGTTTAAACTTATTTAGCAGGGACAAGGGATATCATTTTTAACACTATAGGGTCAGGAATACATGTTTATAAGGTCATGTATACAGCATAGTGTTCCTTTAACTGTTAAAAAAAAAAAAACAATATGTTTTCGGACTCCTCAAAAAAAATAATTTTGTTCTAACAAAATTACTCCCAAACCGTAACACTGTGCGCTAATGATTGGCATATTTGATTCCTTCTCTTGCAGGCAAAGCTTTCGAGTGAGCCTGCATGTAGAAGTCAGTAGAACTTTGTGCTCACTACTCTCGTACATGCACTGTCAAATTGAAACACTCCTTTGTCATTCCCCCCACACAAAAAAAACAAAAAACTGAGTAGCTTGCTTTGAGTGGCACGACATGAAGATGGAGATGGAGAGGAAGAAATTGGCTTAGTGCTGGATTCAAGATTAGTTTATTTTACAGCTTTTATTACAAAACGTAGGGTTGGGAGGGACTAGTGACAAATGCCCAACATGGCCCTATAAACACAGTTGAGCGTATAAAGAAAAAGGGTTGGAGTAAACCTTTAAGTTACATTGTTCTTAAAAAGGTTGTCCTATAACTCTTGGCTCTACAACTCTTATTGGTATCCAGAAGTATCTAGAAGGCTTACTGTTGAACATGTTGTAGTTAAGGCAGCGCTGTATGTGATATGGTAAAGTAAACTAATTTTGCCATACTACTAGAAATGGAATATTTGTTTCCAAGACTTATAAAACATTTATTTTTTTTATTTTAAATCAGCCAAGTTACAGTTTAAATATTCACAAAAGAAACTTTGAAAAAATGAAACCTTTAACTTGAATCTTTGTAGAATAGTGAATGGTTGTAAAATGTATTTCCCCTTTGGCACTGAAAGGCTTGTACAAAAAAATTAGATATAATAATTATAACTTTTTTTTTTTCTTTTCTTTAAACATTATGTAAGAACCATAAGAAAACATACAAAACATATAAAAAAAAAAAATTCAGGCATTGTATAACAATCAATAACGAACTCGGAAGTGCTCATTATTAAGAAAGTTGCAGTATGCAGTATTTAGCAAAAAACAAACAAAACAAATTTCACATTTTTAAGATATTTTTTGGGGGGGCATTTTATTCGGTTTGATCTAATATATATAACAGTTTAAACTTGAGTTTCTTATCTTCTGTAATGTTATATATATATATATATATATATATATATATTTATTTTTTATTTTTTTTCTGCTGCAGCTCAATATTAACATGATGGGCCCTTCTGATTAGCAAGATAATTCTTTTACCTATAGAAGTCACTTTCTCTATATAATGTGTAAAAACATGTATTACAATGTTATTCTATTATCACAGTGTCAGTTTAATGAAACCGGGTCATTTATTCCTGAACAGGGTACTTTGCCTAATTGTTTAAATTTCAAGTATAGTGTTATTTATATATCTATCTATCTATATTTAAGATTTTTAGCAAATATTTGATACTTCTAGACTTAAAAAAAGTTTTTTAAAAAAAGTTTGACAATAGATCACAGATGATTACTTTGTTTAATAAATTGAATGTTTTTCTATAGGGTTTATCCACTATATGCTATGTCGTAGTGAACTGAAAATAATTGGGAAATGTTGGCAAAAATTATGCAAATCTGCTACCGTAGCCGTTGGGGTATGATTACTTTAATCGTGCAGTTCACTACAAATGGTTTAGTGAATAAACTGTGAATTAAATAAGAATGGCCTTATGAAGAGATAAAGGATGCCTTCTGTTGATAAACAGGTGCTTTTGCTTGATAAGTGAAATAAGCTTTAGAATTTGTGAATTTAAGTGATGGGGGATAAAAAGCTATTTAATTGTAATTATTTTAACAGGGGACTGTCACTTATCTGGAATTTACACCACTGAATAAAACGAAAAAAATCATAGGTAAATTGTGCTAATTTTATTTTAAAGATTGAGAAAATAACGTAATCGCGTAATCAAGCTCGGACAGGCAAAGCCAGGGCAAGCAATCAAACTGTAGAGGAGAAATAGAAACATTGTTTCATTTCCCCTCTTCTCTGTTTGCCTTCTCTAGGGCTGATGTCAAATGCAGAGGACAGAGCTTATAGCAGTGATTGACAGGGAGCTAAGATGGATGCGCCCAGTTGTACGATAAAGAGGTGTAGATTTCTACATTTTAGATTTATTTTTCACACCTCACAAACATTTTCTTAAATGTACTGATAAGTAAACAGAACTTTAAAAATCGTGCAAAGTGACAGTTGCCCTTTAAGGAGTATAATAATGGTGATCCCCAACCCAGTCCTCATGGACCACCAACAGTCCAAAATTTATGCATTTCCCTGTTTTATTCCAATGGAGATACTGGAAAAAAAACTGGATTGTTGGTGGTCCATGAGGACTGGGTTGGAGAACACTGGCCTAGATCATGTCAATTTCTTCCTACCTTGTTTTTCACCACTGGTGGAATGGTATGATCAACCTGAAAGTACAAGCCATTAGTGGCTCTGAGGGTCATCTACTGTGTCTGCATTGCTCCACTTGTTGATTGGCTGTTAGGGGGCAGATGGTTTAGGGGGGGTGGGGGGGCACCCGGCTCTAAAGTAAAGCACTAGTCTTTAACTTAGCATCTCTACAAATTACAGATAGATAGCTGTACGACAACTTGATGTAAAGAAGTATAATGACTTAAATAATTATAAATATTTTAATATATAAATACATCCTGCTTTATGTTCTGTATGCACTGCACTTTTTTTCATAATGCACTTGAGTGTATCTTGCTATTGTTAAAGTGCATCAGTTTTCAAATAATGAACTACTCCTTAATCATTATTGGTAAAAAGTAATATATATAAAATATAATTAATAAGATTAACTATCTTGCTACTATTAGTACTGCAGTCTAGCAGATAAACTATGTATTACTCTGTTTAATACTGTCCAGCAGAACTATATAGTGCTTCCACAAGTCTATTAAATAAGAGATGCCAATCCCTATATACAGCAACTAGGTAGTTAAACCAAGTTTGCAATTAACTCTTGAACTGCCAGGTTAACTATAATAAGTTGTGCAACTTCTGTTCCGAAAATGTGTCAATTTTAGTTTAAGAGCAAAATAACTTCTTTGTAGAATTTCACCCAGGGACTTTGACGTAGGTAACGTATGAAGCAAGGCTTTTAGTTTCGACTATTTACAGTAACCCTGTAACACGCTGGCTGTTTTTAGAATTTTATTTGTGTTTTTTATTTTAACTAATGCTAGCAATCCTTTCATAAAAATCAATGAATTTGAATTTGTTGTTTTCTTCTTTTTTTTTTTTTTTAAGTCTTTCATATTCCTGATTTAAACTTGTTACAAAACCTGGATGTTTTTCGTTCAGCCCTTATAAACAAAATTGAATATTTTGCATTGGAAATTCTAACAATAATGTATTCTGGGATTCCTCCTCTCCTTGGACAACTACTCTGCCTATGCCTATCATATTATATAGTACCCAGTAGACACCATTGTTGTGTGATACTGAATATAATTACACAATTTAAACTCTTAACAATGGCAGATATGTCCGATTTGTGATCAAATCCACCATAATAAATTCTAGATGTTTACAACATTGATCAATATATTTGTAGTTTTCTCCTGACATTTCAAGTGCACACATTACATAATACATATAATTCCTGAACACGTGTGTGCGAGTAGAATGGTATATTTACAAACGTATATAAGCTCAGTGGCTTGTTCCACAAATGATAAACCAGGTTTTCCGTGGGTCAGTTATTGTTCATTGTGTACATAGCGATAAAATGTATGAATCAAAATGTACCAATATGACCAGATCCACTTGGCAGATTTATGATTCCACGGTATTCGAACAGGTAAACCATGTAAATTTTGCAAAAGTTGAGCACTTACAAAAACATAACTCATATTTGCTCACAACAAATTTGCTTTGCATTGTTCTGCTTTTTTTCAAACCACTTTTAATTCACGTTTTCCTGAAAATCCATTAAAAAAAATATAAGAAAAAGAAAAATCAATATATACAAAAGGAAAAATAAAATATTCCGCAAAGTGTGAATCAATGGCTTATTCTGTAAACAACAAGGTTATGAACAATCTCCTTCTTCTAAAGCCAAACCTGGACATATACTCCATTTACAGTATACAGTATATAATATTTTGTATATGGCAAGTTAGTGTGTAAACCAGTTACAACAAAATCCGCACCACTGACCAATCGTGGAACGGTGTTCACATCCAGTAATTATCTGATGTATACAAAGGGTTTATAAAATCGACCAGAGCTGTATAGATCAGAATTTTTCTCTTACTCATTAACACCCCTCCGCTCCCATTCATTTCTACAGGATTGGTAATTTTAAAGTTGGGTAGAAAACCTAAAATAATGAGGAAAATGACAAAACAGGACTTTGCAGACCCCAACAGAAATCACAAGCAAGCTTCTAAGGCGTTGCATTGTATAGGGTCTTCTAGAACTGGACTTTGGTATTTTTAAACTCAAACTCCATATACATTTGGAAGAAGTATATCCATAAACATGTGTACTATGCAGAACACAACGCCTCTTAACAAAAAAAAACAAAAACATTTAAGAACAGGTTTAAGAATCCTTTTTTAAATTGCTAGAAATTGTGCGAGAACTCGCAAAGAGTACTTCCTTCCCTACCTAACCTCGGAAAGAAACAAGGTGTGGATTGAAGGGAAACTGTACTAATTGAGAAATTTACCACAAAGCTCCTTAAATATTTCTGCACATTTGTAGAAACATTTTGTAGTGAAGGCACAAAAATACACGTTTTGTGTAGAACTAACAAACCGTGAATCTGTAATCGTTTATGTTCTTTTTATAATTTTTAACATATTGTCTACAAAGAACAAATTGTTACCAGCAATGACCTCATCAAAAGAATTCAAAACATTCCAGACTTGGCAGTAGTTCTGTATCTAAATAATGACATTAGTGTTACTTATTTTACCTTTTTATCAGATAAATATATCTATCTATATATATATATATTCATATAGATGTATATACACTTTCAATTTTTTTTCTCTAAATAGTTAGAGGGCACCCATCCTTTAAATGGTTTCCCTCCATCAAGAATATGGCAGTACCACCAGCCATTTGGATTTTTTTCCAACACTTCCATAGAAACACCTTCTTGAAAACCTACAGTTTCATCATCTCCTTCATAGTCCGCAATGGAGATATATATATCTTTCAGGTTATTATGAATAAATTGTGACTTCTCGATGGGTTTAGGTCGAACAGTGGACACAGGTATTCCATTTCTTTGTGGGGACCGAACTGTTTCTAAATCTGAAGTTTCTGCTTCTGTTTTTTCTCCAGACTTTATCTTAGATCTATTAGTTTGAGAACGGACAGTGTTAAAGGAAGAGTTTCGACGAACAGTTCTCAGGTGGTCAGTAGCGGACAGTGATTCATTCCTGCGTAAATGGCAAGAAATATTGTTATCCTTTGGTGGTGCACTAACAAACACAGACTGTGGCCTGACTGCCACCTGCTTTATTCCATTTCTTAATTTCACAACATTGTTTCCTGGTCCTGGTGGTTTGGAGAACCCTCCTGGGGGCCTGGTTGGGACAGGAGGTGTTGCTTTCTTGCTTTGGTTAATAGTATTTAAAGCTTGCACCCTTTTTTCGATCTTCTCAAGGCTATTTGACTTATTTTCATTTTTCTTACATATGCTTGGATCAGGTTCAGATGTGGATATTTCAGACTGTGTATCGTCTACCTCTTCCAGAAAATGTGATGGTGCCCATCCCTCTAAATGTTTGTATTTTATATACCACCAGCCACTGTCTTGCTTTTCGACGACTTGCACTTTTGCTCCTGTTGGGAAGCTTATTTCTGAATCCAGTACCTTTTGGTAGGAGCTCCTGGCTATATAAATATCCTTTTGCTCATTGCTTTCATCATTATTTGTACTAATGACAGGATGAGATGAACTAGCGGGGAGATCCACAGAACTTCTTCTCGGAATGCTATCCACCTCATCAGATGCTGTCTTTGGTAGATGTTCAGAGTCTTCACTTTTTGAACCCTTAAGACCACTTCGCAGCTGTCCTGTTGGCCTCAGTTGACGCCGCAAAGTGCTTATGTCCATTTTATCTTGAGAGTCTGTTTTATTTAAAAATGGTTTTGGTCTAACAGATGGCTTTGCTTTGGTTGAAGGAACTACTGCTGTTTTTTGATCAGTATCTTTCTTTGGACCAACCTTTGGTACAGTACATAAACCTACATCTGAAACGGACCTTGGTTTTTTCTCCTCACTTGTTGAGAATGAGACACTTTTTACAGCTTCTTGGTTGACATTTCTTTCTGATTTTTGCTTTAAGAGGGGTGGCTTTAAAGTGGCTGCAGTAGGAGAGTTTTTTGAAATAACCGAAGAGCTTTTTTGTGAATCTGAATCACCGCTAGATTCTTTGCTTGCGATACAATCGTTTCCAAAGGGGCGGAATCCATCATTTTCATAAATAGTCTCTTCTTCATTAGTGACATCTTCAGAATACTCGCCAACTTTAAACTTTGCCCTCTGGAGAGAAGATACAGGTGAAGATTTTGAAGGCTGAAACATACTTTCAACAATAACCTCATCTATGTAACCCTGAGAGGAATCATTTGGTTCAGTTTCCAATTCAAAACCAAAAGCAGGAACATCATATTCTGGTTCCTCATATTTCTGTTTTAAAGGAGAGTCCTTGGATTCAGATGAACAGATTGTTCCCGGAGCTGACCCTTCCTCCGCATCTTTCGGTTTAGTTGGTGGAGCGGGTGGAGGAACTTTTGGCCTTGTAAGAGTGCTTGTCCTTCGGTTTAAATTGGGCTTCTTTCTTTTGTCAATGTAGGAACACGGTGCCCAGCCTTCTTTTTCTCCAATCTGGACATACCACCAACCACCAGAATTCTTTTCAATCACCTAAAACAAAATATATTTATATTTAAAAGTGGGTATGTATGTATGTAATATATATATATATATATATATATATATATATATATATATACACTTTTTTTTTTTTTTTTTTGGTGAGTTTTAGAATTTATTTTTTAATAATTTTTTTTTTTTCGAGTTTCAGAATACCACACTAACACAGGTAACATATTAAAGTGCAAGTGTGTGTGAAGCTTCTATTTAAAATATTGGTTAGTTTTTGTTTTACAGTCAAGGGAAATAATGCATGGAATAGATTATATATTAAGTAACAGATTTTCCTTAAAGGAACACTATTGTGTTAGGAATGCCATAGTGCACTGTTAGCCATTTAGCTGCTTGCCCCCCTGTCTCCCCAGTCCAAGTGGGAACAATGCAGTTTTACTTATCTTTCCCCTTGCAGGGCTGGTCTTTGCTCTGCTGTCCCACCTCAATTGGCTAAGATAATCAAGACCGATAATCTCAGTTGATCTAATGCATTTTTATGGGACAGGATTGGGAAGCTAGTGCATGCACGGCAAAACGCTGCACTGTGTCAAATAGATGATCTTTATGAGACAATCTGATAAAGTATTAGATCTAAAATATTACCATTTATTTTGTTACATTGGTTTCTGTAGGGAACTTCACACAATTACCAGAGTCAACGATTATGAGTTGATACCAGTTTAGGGAACTGTAGTACCAGCACATTAAACACCATTAACCAGTCTGGCACTCTACATTTTTTTGTTTTTGGTCCCTTAGTAGTTAGAAACCCACTATTTTTTACTTACATCAGCCTTTTGACCTCCACGGAAACTTATCCCATCAGATATACAGGACTGGAACTCAGCAATAGTGTAATACTCTACTTCAACTGAAGGGGGCTCTGGAGGTTTTGGTAATTGGAATCCCTGCAGGAAAAAAAATTAAAAAATGTAAAAAAAATCACAATAAATGATATTTGAAATCATGACTTTTCCAGCATGTGCAAAGAACACACTGTAACCAGGAGATTGTATAATTATCCACGATACACTGTGCTATTTTCTTTTGGCAGTTTATAAAATCTAAGCCAGGGTTTACAAATATTACATTTTTACAGAAAAATGATGGATTGCATACAGATGTTTTTTTGTTTTTTTTTAAGCTGGGCCATAGTGCAATCAAAAAAATACATTAAAAAAAATTTATTTGGACTGAGATGGATGTATATTTCAATATTACTGTATATTTCAAAATGTATTTAAATATATATATGGAAAAACATGTAATTGTTATTTTAAGGAACTTATTATTTTATAATAATTTTTCTGTTTTTTTATTTATTTATTTTTTACCCAAAGGAAGCCATAAAAACTAAAAAAAAAAGTGAAAAATATTGCAAAAGTGACTTGCAACTATATAAATGAAGGATCATTTAGGGTGATAATTCAAATATATAGAGATCATCACTTGATTTCCCTTTAGGACGATACCATATTCCCTTGTTCACAATATACAATATTATAGTATAGTACAGTACGGAATAGTTATACTGCATTGTCATCTGTATCGTTATTCTTATATAGTGCTGGTAATGTAATCAGTAAGGGTACACAGTATTTATTTATTTTGTATTATTCTTTCTGCTACATGATTTCTCTTAAGCAGAGTTACTAAATCTTGGATTTTTCTCTTAGTCCATGTCAGGGGAGTTGCTTGGGGTGCTAATTCTGGCTGTGGCCCCAGGTGAGGTCCTGACCAGCTCGGAGTCTAAATTCTTGGGTAACCCTGTGTCCCCTGTTCCACAGCTGGCCTTGTGCATCTAAATTTATCACTGAAGTTACGGCCAGTGGCGTACATATCAGGGTCGCGGCTGCGACCGGGCCCGGCCCACCAGGGGGCCCGGCCGCCCCTGCGACCCGGTATGTAGCCACAGGGCCAGCCTCTTCCCCAGGGGGGCCCAGGAGGCGGCCACCTCAGGGCCCCCTGAGGCTGGCCCTGCTGACCCGGGCGGGCGGCCGGGCGGGCGCGCGAGGGAGCACTCAGTGCTTCCTCTTCAGCTCCCTCGCGCACCGCACTGATACCGGAGCCGGAAGATGACGTCATCTTCCAGCTCCGGCATCCCTATGCGGAGCGCGAGGGAGCTGAAGAGGAAGCACTGAGTGCTCCCTCGCGCGCCCGCCTGCCCGACCGGCCACCCGCCCGGAGCCCAGCAGGGCCACTGGACACCAGGGAATCCCCCCCAGCACTCCAAAAGGTAAGGAGGCTGGGGGGATTAAATAAAAAAAAAAAAAACATAGAGTGTTAGTGTGAGGGTTAGAGTGTTTGTGAGTGTTAGTGTGAGGGTTAGAGTGTGTGAGTGTTAGTGTGAGGGTTAGAGTGTGTGAGTGTTAGTGTGAGGGTTAGAGTGTGTGAGTGTTAGTGTGAGGGTTAGAGTGTGTGAGTGTTAGTGTGTGTCTGCTAGTGAGTGTTAGTGTGTGTGTGTCTGCTAGTGAGTGTGAGTGTTAGTGTGAGTGTTAGTGTGTGTGTGTCTGGTAGTGAGTGTTAGTGTGTGTGTCTGCTAGTGAGTGTTAGAGTGAGAGTGTGTGTCTGCTAGTTAGTGTGAGTGTTAGTGTGTGTGTCTGCTAGTGAGTGTTAGTGTGTGTGAGTGTTAGAGTGAGTGTTAGTGTGTGTGTCTGCTAGTGAGTGTCAGTGAGTGTGTTACTGTGTGTGTGTTAGTGAGTCTGATGTCTGTTAGTTAGTGAGTGTGTGTTTGTCAATGAGAGTGTATGTTTTGTAAGTGAGTGTGTATGTATGTCTGTCGCTGACTGTGTCTCTGTCAGTAAATGTGTGTCTGTTAGCTAGTGTGTATGCGTCTGTAAGTGTGTGTGTGTGTGTGTGTCTTCAGCACTTACCTTTCTCCAGCGCCGGACTCCCTTGGCGCTGAGGATCCCTCAGCCTCTCAGCTCAGAATGCGACCGCGCACGCATTCAAACCGCCCATAGGAAAGCATTACTCAATGCTTTCCTATGGACGTTCAGTGTGCTCCTCTAGCGGCTGTCAGTGAGACAGCCACTAGAGGCTGGATTAACCCTCAGTGAAACATAGCAGTTTCTCTGAAACTGCTATGTTTTCAGCTGCAGGGTTAAAACTAGAGGGACGTGACACCCAGACAACTTAATTGAGCTGATGTGATCTGGGTGTCTGGAAAACATACTCGTTTTCCTGGCACTATAGTGCCCTGAGGGTGCCCCCACCCTCAGGGACCCCCTCCCGCCCGGCTCTGGAAAAGGGGTAAAACTTACCTTTTTCCAGCGCTGGGCAGAGAGCTCTCCTCCTCCGATCCTCCTCTTCTCCTCCCCGTCGGCTGTATGCGCACGCGCGGCAAGAGCTGCGCGCGCATTCAGCCGGTCACATAGGAAAGCATTCATAATGCTTTCCTATGGACGCTGGCGTGCTCTCACTGTGAAAATCACAGTGAGAAGCACGCAAGCGCCTCTAGCGGCTGTCAATGAGACAGCAGCTAGAGGAAATAGGGGAAGGCTTAACCCATTCATAAACATAGCAGTTTCTCTGAAACTGCTATGTTTATGAAAAAATGGGTTAACCCTAGCTGGACCTGGCACCCAGACCACTTCATTAAGCTGAAGTGGTCTGGGTCCCTAGAGTGGTCCTTTAAGTGTGTGTGCGTCTGCATGAACTGGCGTACATACCGCGGTCGCAGGGGTCGCAGCCCTGTAACCTCTGCGACCAGGTGCCCACCGTCATGTGTTGCGGCCCGGCCCGCGCGCGGGGGGGGGGTGGGGTGGGGGGGCCCACGGATCAATTTTCGCACCGGGGCCCCATGGGTCATGTGTACGCCACTGGTTACGGCATTCCACAGAGCCGTGCTGGACCTTCACTGATGGATGTGATTACACTGACCACCATGGTCCTTGAAAATGCACGCTAGATTCGACCAAATAAACAAAGTGCAATAAGCCTACTGCTTCTTTAAATGATACAGTTGTATTAGGATTCAAAACTAATCAATGAAAAGACAAATATTCAGGTGGTAGAGCAAAAATTAAAAATGTAAAATACAAACCAGACTAGACTCTCTCCTTGGGGGAGGCTTCATTCTAAGATTTGGAGAGCCTGGAAGAAGACAGAGGAAACATGACTTTAAGAAAATGTCTTCCCGGAACATCTTTCGTAAATACAAAAAAACAAACTGTTAAATATGTCTGTACAATCATAATTACTAACTGGTGCTCTTGAATATTGACTGAAAAGGGAAAACCATAGTTTTGCGCGTTAGTTCATATTCCTATTGTTAATGCTCTTTGCCACGTCTTTCTCTGTAGGTTTTGTTTAAATGTTTAGTTTTGTTTGTTTTTTATTTTTTGCAAGACTAAGCTATTTTATGAGTAGCAATGAGTTAAAATGTATAACTACAATGGTGTAATACTCTACAGATCGAGCTATAGCAAACATGATTTCTTGAAAGGGAAACTCCAAGCACCATAACGCTTGTATATATGCTACATTGGTTATTGTGCAAAGAGCCCCCCGCCGCCCAGTCTGTTGCACCCATCAGGGCATTATCTTCCATGAGAGAAGGATCTCAATGGGCCATATTTATCAAGATTACACAGGTGCTAATCTGATGTGATAAATGTTCTGTTCATTTCCATGGTGATTTGCACCTGCTTTCTGTTTTAATAAATATGGTCCTATATACACCGAGCGCTTCCTTTAGTTCTTCGCCTCCACCATGGAAACACTTCCATGGAGTTGGGTTAATTGGATTTAGTAGGGAATAAATGTAGCCATAATTAGAGGGGAAAAAGTCTGTCAATTTTAGTTTTATCTGTCTAGTCGTCAGTAAGTCAAAAAGACTGAAACCAATCTCCTTACTTATTTCAGATCTCTGGGGGGCGATTCTTGCCACCGCTGGGGATCCTGGTGTGATTTTGGACGGTAACGTTTCAGAGCCCATCATGGAATTTCCATTAGAGTCATTGCACAGGATCGGCAAGCTGATTTCTTTCTTGGTGATTTGCGGTTCTTCGCTCTCGCTACCCCCCTGGCCATCTTTGTCACTGCTCGGCTTCTTGTTAATCAGGTTACTGATTTCCATAATATTGCCAATAATTTCCACGGGACCTGCCAGATTCTTCTTTCGGCACGGGAGGTCATCCTTGGCTTTCTTCAGGTAGGATGCTGGAGCCCAGCCTTCTTTGCCTTGATATCTTTACAAGTAATGAAATATAAATTTAAATTTTGAAGAAATATTTTTACATACTGTAAATGGATAACTCTGTAAAAACTGAGTAATATTGAACTTTTCCATATCTAAAACAGCCCATTAAGTACTGAAAAAATGTCAAAATTTTTTTTTACATGATACTCATCTCAGATGTCATCGCAAGTGTGCACCTATATTGCAATTTGTTCCTAACTGCATGTTCACTTTAAAAAAAATTTTTTATTTGCGATTAAAGGTTTTGCCCGACCAGAAATTGTGCTTTTTATTAAAACACTTTTTTCGTCGGAGTAACCCTTGCTGATATGATCCCACCCCTCATTTAAAAAAAAAATAAATAAAAAATACTCCACCAGGGTCAGGTACTGAATGGCTGCATATACTCCAAGCACCATAAACACTTCAAATAAATTAAGTGGTAACGGTGCTTGGCATAACTCTTTACCACAAGTTACAGAAGGGTCGCAGCTCCAGTTTATTAATAAAAATTATTATAACATCAATATTTTTGGGCTTCTCTTTTTCTAACGTTTCAATTTTGCTTTAACAAAAAGAAAAAGTACCTCTACTCCCTTATAAAGGGGAGCATCAAGAGGCGGAGGAATCTTGGGAAAGGGTTCTATTTTTTATTTTGTTTTATGCAGTAAACACCTTCATCCTTTCTTTAGTCTTCAAACAAATGAATCAGTTGCTGGATTACTCTGATAAAATGTGTTCTGTATTGAATTGGCTTTTACTCTGATACATAGCTATTTGCAGAGTGATTAATATGCATTCTGCATGATAAGGTGCGCTAACTCCCTCTTAGCACATAGACCTCAGGTGTGTAATGCGGAATAAAGCTGGATTGGAAAGTAAAATAGAATTTGTATCTCTGCAGCAGTTCCCAACATCTGTTTTCCAATGATAAAAAAATACAGGAAATGAGGATCAACACGCAGGGAGGAATGTCAGCATAATGCATGTTTAAGGTGGAGCCTGCCATAATATTTAAGGTGGATTATGGGTTTATAATTGGATCACTAGCTGCCCTTTTAAGAAGTTGGAACACTTTTTACATGCAGCTTTTGGAAAAAGGTTCAGTTCACAGATCGAAGTGTGAAAAATATTGCTTAGGAAAAATAAAAGTTGGATTTTTTTTTATTTAGTTTTTTTTTTGTAAACTTTCTCATATTATTCGTCAATCCTTGCTGCAGATGTGTAAATATATCTTCAGGCTATAGAGGTGACCAACATCTTGCCAGCTAAGGAAATCCTGAAACTCTCGAGATATTATGGTTGCTAAATATTGAGGTTTTATTCTTGTGAATCCATTGTACAGCGCTGCGGAATATGTTGGCACATTATAAATAAGTTATTCATATAGTTACCGGGAGAGAGACAGAAAAAGCACATAGAATAGCATGGCAGTCACATCAAGTTTCGTCAAAGCAATACAAATATTTTATGGTGCTCTGGAGTGATTTTTACAGCGAGTGAAGCTATTTTAGCAAATTTAAAGTGAACACGGTCATGCAAATGTTCACTTACTAAAGAACTGAGAATTCAGATATGCTTTCAGTTTGGCTACTTTCCTTAAAATAGAAATTCATTTTGAATTCTAACTTTAGTAAATAACTCTTTATGTAAGCAGAGATACATTGTGTATGTGTTTTGGGACTGGGGCTGGAGGTGTGACTAAGTATATAAAACAGGGATTTTTAGTTAATTGAATGAGAAAGCATGTCACTTGTGTAATTGTGTTATTTAGAGGATGAACATTGTATTTGTTTTTACAGGAACAACTGTTTAAATAAACTGATGAAAAGACAAAAGGTCCATTACTGTCTGTATTAAGGTTCTAGAGCTCTGTTAAACACTTGTATACACAGGATGATCTGAGCGTCTGAAAAACAGACAAGCCAGGGTAGAAGAGAGGTGCAGGGAGAGGGACTGTTCCTCCTAAATACAGACACTTGGGTGGTGTGGATTTACAGAATATTGTAGGATCTACACCAGCCATCAACTCCAAAATTCAGCAAATAGAGAAATAACAAGTCCTTCTAAAAACTGTGTGGGAGACTACAATAAACTGTAAAAAGATTATTGCCAGAATATGTCAAACATGTCTATCACAATCTCGCAATTACGGCTCCAAGAAAAAAAAATCTCTTTCTAAAAGCACTCTGCGAAAATAAATACAATAATAATCAAAAAGTCTATAAAGTGAAAAATAACACCATCTTGCTGAAAATGTTCAAATCGCATTTAATCCCTCTGAGACCGTGGTTAGACAAATAGATTGTTATTGCAATGGTCTTTGCACGTAATTGGTCCAGAATGGATATAGAAAAACAAAATAATTCTCATTTAACAGTTAATTTTTAATCTTGTTATAATCGGGATGTATTACCAATTTTGCCTAATGAATAGCACCTGAAGTACGGTGCCTGGAAGTAATCCTGACCGGTCTATGGCAAATCTAGCATACTGCTCCAACACAGGCACTCCACTACCTGAGTGAAATTATTGTTTAATAGATTTACCCCCCAAATTAAAACATGCATGCATTTAATTATGCATTTTTTTAAATTGTGCATATATTAAAAAAAAAAAAAAAAAAAAAAAACCCAGCCCAGACTTTCTGTAGCTGTCCAATCATAGATGTCCTAATGCAGCTCAATGAGAAATCTTTAAAAGGCACTTGCTCTGGGCGATCGCCTGCATCTTGAGTTAAGTGTCAGGAAGTAACAGAAGGGGTTGTCTGATTGACAGCCAGGGGGGTGTAACAAGGTTAATTTATAAAACTCCAATTTCTATTGAAATCTGCACTTTTTATAAAATGAAAAAAAAAAAAAAAGACACATTTTAATGCCAGTTTGGAGTGTTCCTTTAAGTTTGCTTTTTGCAAAGAAGCATTTTACTAACCCATATTGATAATAACAACTAAGTATTTAACCAGGAAAAATAGGACTGCAATGATGGACAGACCTTTAGAAAAATTAACCAATTACTTGTCTATTTGGCCAGGAAAGCATTGAGATGGTATTGTGCATGCACAGCAAAATGCAGCACTGCTCTAGTCAGCATCTCCTCAAAGTCTAAATCAATGCATCTCTACAAGTAGCGATCAGCTCCATGCAGAATGTGGAGATGCTGAACGTTGGTGCTGCACACTGTGATAGGATGTACCTCTAGTGACCATCTGAGTGATTGCACCTAGAGGTGTTAATAGGCAACAATGTAAAATGGTGTTTACATTGAAAAGTCTGCAGGGACAGGCAATAAACACCAGAACCATTACATTAATCTGTAGAAATTCTGCTAACTATAGCGTCCATTTCAAACCACAGGACTGGGACTGTGACTCTGAGGACTCTGATCTGATTCTAATTACAATCTGCTTTAATCTGTAATGATTTTTGGTTATATTAACTACGTCAGCTACGGCTTGGCTCTCTATTAGCACTGCAGATTAATTATATGGCCAGCTGCAAAGGTAATAAGGAATCTATCGGTATCCTGCTGCTTTAACCCTGTGTACATTGTGTGTGAGTCAGGAGTAGCTGACATGGTTGGAGTCTCAGTATCGTGATGTGAACACTGCATGCTGAGAGCTAATGGAGTCGCTCACGTTTCATAACAGCAGCAATATTTAATATAAAGCTAAAGTTATTATAGCACTACTTAAGATGATATCATGAGAGGGAGAGCTAAAAGAGCGCTAGGAAGATAACCAGAAAGAGAAAGCGAGCATGCTCTAAAGCATTTTACAAATACATATAGTATAGGCATCTCTGTATTGCAGCTCTGTGTAATCCATCACAGTGATCTTGGCTGTGTAGGATAGTTAATAGTATCTCCTCATCGTGCCCAGCTGTGTGTGTTATTTCTGTGTATTTTACGCCAATCTACCTATTTTATGGGTATATCCGTAGTCTACGCAGGTATCTGTGTATTATAGCTCTATTATTTCTCAGCTCTGTTGGTATGGTTATTTCTGTATTGTATTCGGCTCCATGTATTTACAGAAATCATTATGTTGTGGCCAGCTTGTTTTATTGTATGAGTATCTCTGTATTATGAGCAGCACTCTGTATTGTATGAGTATCTCTGTATTATGCTCAGCTCTCTGTATTATAACTGTATCCCTCTTTGTAAATTATCCTCTTGCTATCACAAAGCAGAGTATACTAATGAGAGCTGTAATCCTACAGCCGGTGGATGGATGGTCATTGGCTACTCTTCTCTATAAACTTAAACATTTAAATTAACCACTGCTAATCTGATAGATTTACGAATGAGCAAAGCACATTTTCTGGGCACTGAAAGGTTAAACCTTCCTTATTATTTAGACTGGACATGTAGGCAGGAATTAGGGGAAAAGATGGAGCGCTATTAAGTTACAACCCGATTTTGCAGCTTTTGCAATTGTGGCCATGATTTTTCCTCATTTATCAGCAGGAAAGTTCTCAGAGTGGCTATATGATTTGGCAAAAACATGTGTTCCGACACATTCTTCTACACCCATCCTTGAACATGAAAGATAAATCTGCAAAGCACAGGATAATCTTTGGCACTGCAGGTGTTGTGGACTGCATTTCCCACAAAGCAACCTGTGAACTCTCAGGAATATACCTAAACTAAAAGCATTGCTTTCCAATCCTGGACTAAAATGGGAAATTCACTTTGAAATCTTTATTCATTTTTTTTTTTTTTTTTTTAAGCATTCAAGACTTAATGCTTGTTGTCATTAGCAAGACAGTCCTTAGGTGCCCATTTAGTGATGCCATTGCTGTACGTGGTTGCTGTTTATAAGTAGAACTTTCTACACGGACATAAGGCTGATCACCTTTCCTTATAGGGTTAGAACATACAGTGTGAGGGAATGATGAGACATAACAAGACATTCTAGAATCACTGCATACCTGATATACCACCAACCCTCCAGATTCTTCTGGATAACTTCAATTGTGACACCTTTTTCGAATCCGATTTCATCCTTCCCTTGGCTGGTGTAGGGCTGGATGGTGACATATTTCTCCTCTAATAAGAACAAAATAAATAATTAACATGACATTCCATATTTTCTCCAGCTATTAGAAGGCAATGCTACATTTTGAATTGTCTCAGAACTTCCAGCTATTTAGAAAAAGCAAGTCACATACTTGACGATATACTCCACTGGCAATCAATCCACTTGGCTACAGTGACACATTATATCCTCTCTGGGATGAACGCCTGTTGGCCAGATGCAATAAAAACAATAGAACGTGGAATTTGACACTGTACAAGTACGGTGCCAAAGTACTATCCTGATTATTGATATTTTACTGCAGCTTCGTCTTCCTAGGCTTAATGGAAAGATCATTTTTAATACAATATGGGTATTAGCCGGATTACAGTAACAAATCAATTGAACAATTGTTACTTACAGTGATGTAAAAGAACGACCGTGCCAAACCGTTCCTCTAATAAGCACACATTTTAAAATGCAAATCTTTAACGCAAACCATTCCTGGTAACAAGGAAAATACAAGCAAAACTGCCAGCACCGGCATCCTATAAATAAATATGCCTAAATTTTACGAATAGGTTTAATGGGGGGGGACCAATATAACAGGTCTGCAATTATTCATTGAACTGGGGTGTATGGGGCATTTACATTGGGAATGTTAAACTAGACCTGTTGTTAAAAATGTAACTTTGTTGAATTTTTCCTTTTGCTTTTTTGTGTAATTTCCTAAAAGGGTTTTTGTTCACTTACCTTGTATGGAGCGCGATTGACTTTTCAGACAAACTCACCTGCTTCATAATAAATCCCTGTTCATATCCTGCCTTCGTTTGGGAAGCCTGCCATGACTTCCCCACATTTGGAAAAGAGTCCTAAGATGACGCTGATGTGATGGGCATCATTTACAGCACATTGAACAGAATGTGTCAGTCATTCTGTTGTTTCTTTGTTGTGCATGTCGCTGCTTGTGCTTCGTACTGACAAAGTCCATTGCCGGATTCTCATAGAATCAAGATGGGGCTGAAAGCACATGCACTGAAGCTAGTTGAAGCTGGACATCTGAACAGCTTACAACACACAGCCAATAGCCATGTACTTCGACATCGGCATGGAGTCTATCCTGACTGTATGTCAGGAGGGAGAGTGACAATTTTGCAGAATTTTATACATACATGTATACATTTGCTAGCGCTTTGGCTAGCCCAATGTGTAGACAAAATCTTAAAAGGTATCATTTATGGTAATTGAAATATAGTTAACATTTAGGACACAATATATAAACTGCAAAAAGCAGAGATGGAGAATTTCTTTCAATTTAGTTAATCTGTCCTACAATTTCAGGTTCTCGATTTAGTGAATATGCACCATGATAACTTGATCTCAATCTTGGCAAAAAATGCCTGTGTTATAGAGATTTCCTACAATTTGTCAAACATATCATTGTAATCCATAGTTAGAAATACAATGCAAATACCGAAACCCAATAATATTCAAAGAATATTTAATCTATTGCCACTAATTAAAATAACAGCTTGCCTTTCATGATAACTTAATCTTAACCTCTCAAAATAACAGCCAACAGTATTAGCAATCGGCCTTGTATTTTAGATGGCTCTATAGTGTAAATATGGTTTGTTTCAGGAAATGCCAGAGATACAATCACATTCCATGGATCAGAACATGTCTGTCTACGAAGCAGGAAGGAAAGGGGGCAGACATCTTTGGTTTTTTCATGTGCATCTGTAAGTAGAAATGACTCAATAGTTCGTCATACCTTAGCTGCCACTGACTTGTTTTACCCATAACAGAGATATATGGTGAGTTCATTTTTAAATATTTACAATGAGGTCAATGCTTCCATTTTCTTTCTCTGTATAGGAGGACTCCCACTCCCTCTAAACGTTAGGCAATTAATAAATCAAAGATTAGTATAAAATTAGAGAGCAGTGCCAATAGAGGTACAAAGCTCGAAGAACTTTGTGCTAACTAAAATAATACTCAGATCAGTCTTGCATAAATGAGCTATGAAAACGGGGGTGAATTTATCATATTTTGGAAAGCCAAGCATAATATGATCATGTACTATGTCAGAATTCTCCAAAATATTACTTTGTAATTTAATTATTATATTTTTTTTTTTTGGTAGCCAATAAAGGTAACTGTCACTTTCCACAATTTTTAATATGTCTACGTATCCCCTATGTTTAACAAATTATGTATTTATGAGGTGTGAAAAATACATTTTAATATTAAAAAAATATATATATCCATGCATCCCTATCCTGCAACTGGGGTCCTCCATCTTTGCTCCCTGTCAATCATTATTATAAATGCTGTACTTTGCACCTGGCAGTCAGCACAGAGAAAGCATACAGAGACATGTGTGCCCTGGTTGTGCCAGGACTGGACTGGAATGTGAGGTTTACTAAATCATGTTTCAATGTTTTCATTTCTGGAGAAGTTGCCATTTTGGCAGTTGCCAGTTGCTATGTAATTATAAAACATGAGGATGAAGAAGTTTGTGAGTTGAAACTTAGACCATTTGTCAGTATAAAATGCTCTTGAAATACTGACGGAAGGCGACATAAGTAAAAACTCAAAAGGACATCCATTCGGTTTAATATAACCCATCAAATGGTTTATTCACTAAAGGATGGATTATCGGGAAATCAAAGTGAATTACAAATGTCAGAAGATTTAGATGAAGTAGAAGTTGTGTGTTTTTATTGTTGCTGTTTTTGTTACAAAATTTTAAATTCACTTTGAATTCCTGACACTTCACACGTTGGTGATTAACACTATAAATATATTGCGGCTGCTGTATCCCAGGAGTGGCTGCTTATTTTAGTGCTTTATATGAATCTCTATGGAGTTATTCTATTCTGGATGCTAATGAAATCAAGCTGTCTGTTTAAACTGTACATACATTGACACAGCCCTGGATACAGATACGTGAGCAGTCTGACAGGTAGGGAAAGAAAAAAAAATAGAAGCAAATGAACTGGCAACATCTGCCAAATGGTACGAATGGTTGGCTGTGATTATTCTATATGTTTGGTGAATATTTTACTACATAATGAATTAAATATACCAGGTTCACATCCACCCAGCTGGCTTCTATTAAAAGCAGAGGGAAAATTACCAAGGTGAACATACAGATCGGATAATATGAAAGAAGCGTCTTATTAGGTCCGCTTTAAAGAAATCTATCCATAAGCATGGAATGGGAACACTAAGGGTAGCCAAAAATATTTTATGGGAAACAATAACCCGTTACTGCTTAGAGGTATCCCATACACATTCTTTGCAATAATTTAAGTCAGTTCTAAGAAACATGTGGCTCTTCAGATGTTTTTCATCAATTTCCTCCTGGAGCAACCTACCTCTGGCTCTCCAACCAATATTGTACTAATCCCATAATCCACCCAAAATAGCCTACCTTTAGCTCTACAACTGAGAATGCACTATTCCTATAATCCTTATGGGGCAGCTTAGTTATGGCTCTCCGAAATTGCACAAATTGCATTAATTGTCATTAATCCCCAAAGTTATATTACTTGTGCCTCCAAGCTGGTATTGTACCATTCCCATAAGCTCCCCAAGGAGGTTTGCCAACTGATATTGCACAAATCCCTTAATCATCTACAGGTAGCCTACATCTGGCTCTCCAACTTTTGACGAAAAGCTCTTATTATAATTCAAGAAGTAGAGAATATCTACTGCTCATCAGCTAAACTCACGTGACCCATGAAATTGTCCACAAATAGTTTATCATGAGCGTGGAAAACTGGTGATCTGCTGGTTTGATCCTCCATTCAAAACCCATCAGTGGATACAGAGTTGCAGACTTACGGTGTTAATTTTGGACAAGGGTTACCAAATCCCCAATTTCATGTTTTTTTACTGCTAGAGGTTGGCAACATATTAGATTTCATTGCATATATGAGAACATCTTACTTGCATTATTAATGCATGATTAATATTTCTTCCAGTCCATGGTTCTATCAACTCAATAGGAGTGTGGACCTAAAGGAGATAACGGTGGGAGAATAGATCCTAGGAGGATGCAATTGGAACGCTTGCCTATCTCTGTTGATTAACTAGGTACACGGGCTGGACTGTATGTCTTCAAATGTCATGTGATGACAAGCCAGACCTTTTTGAAATAGTGATGCAATGTAATAAGGTTCATTGAGTTCCAAGGGTGGAGGACATCTGGACTGCCTGGACAATCCTAGATTATAGAAAGAATTGAAAGCATGCAATGTTCTTTACTGTACAAATACCCTGTTGCACAATATCACTCATCTTCACAGAGTGTTCCCTGTAAAAACAGAATGTGTTCCTAATTTTATATTTTAATAAACTAGGAGTTAAATGTACAAAGTTATCTAGGTTGGCTGAATCCATAAACCTATGGTTTGTTTTGCATTCTCAAACCAGTCGAGAGACCTTCCCTAAGCATTTAGAAGAGTAATAGTTTATATCAATGCATTCCTAAACAGTTTGCTGTAGTAGATATGTCAAATAAGTTGCCCTAAGGAGTATCTCCTTAAAGGACAATAGTCAACAAAACTTCACTTAATTTTTAAAACATTTTACATTTAATGAAACTTAATGGTATATTTCTTAAATTATGTATACCGATTTATTTAAAGAACATTTTACTCCCCCTCGCCCGGGTCGGAATTATGTTATGGATGCTCAGCAGTTATATTTTGAGAACATTTCACTTTTTTTTTTTTTTATATATCAGTATACATCATTTAAGAAAATATAATTAAGTTTAATTAATTACATTGAAAAGTGAACATTTGATGACCGCTGTCAACATATGAAATTTGTCTGAAAAGGTGTCATTTTTTATTATGATTCTATCTACTACGTTTTTATATTTTTACAAAGAAAATGATGTATTAATCGCAGCATGGTACAATTCCGGTCATGAAACAAGATTAAAAGGGAACGGTCACTTTTCTTAAATAAATCACTGAAAATCTGTATATAAATTATTAACCTTTTTTCAGGAGACCCCCTCTTCTACTGTAAATGTATGTTAAAGATTTAGCAAATAACATCATAAACCAAAAAAAAAAAAAGTACAACCGGAGTGAATGATCAGAACAATCATTCACTGAGGATGTATTGGTTGAAGGGTATTTAGGGCATAACCCAAAGTAGTAGTAAAGAGAGAAGAGACTGGAATGGGTTAACTAACAAAAGTGCTCCCAAAAGCAGTCTCTATACCCCTAATGTAACTGAGGCAATAAATTGCTAATCGTAGAGCATAAATAGAACTACAAATTTAGTACATTATGTACTTTATTTAGGACATCTGCTCTTTTTTATTATTTTGATTGGGATTGGAAGATCACCTTATTTATTATTTAGGAACAGATTTATAGGCAGCCATCCATATATACTTTGAGACTTTTTAGTTATCTTATTATAGGCTGGCGAGAATTGTGTAGTGTATCGATGTATGGTACACTGATCTACAGAGCACTTTCTCTTCCACTGAGTACTTGGTATCTAGTTTATATTACAGTTTTCTGTTTAATTTACTTGATTCCCCTCGCGGTCCACTTTAGGTGTTTAGGGTGTAGTATTAGAGAGACTTACTCTTTCATTTATTAGTGTCCGGCCGGACCAACCATACTACTCGTCTCTCTTTCATAGCAAGATATTTTCAGTCGTGCTTGGCATTGGGGAATTAATGGAGCGTTATAATCAGGATTTATGATTCTTTTGACGGTTAGTACCCGACTTTTACTATTAGTTTGGTTCAACAATGCCGTTCATCTCCCCAAAGGCTCCTTTACCACCTTTGCGCACGATCGATTTTGGAGCTCCCCTAAAAATAGCAAGCACTGTGAATCTATCCGCTGGGGCTATCCTCATTAGACAATATTTATTTGTGCAATTATACGCACGTTACTTTATCAAGAGTTTCATCGGTATTTGCTATCCCAACAGGATACATTGTACTTCTTTTCGTTCACACTTCATATTCTATGTTGCTGGCCCACAGACACTTTGTAATAAAGAAGCTGCTGACAATATTTATTTTTAGTGGCCACCAGATACGGTCTGTAATTACTACCTATATCGCAGATTAGCAGATAAACCTATTTTATTTTATCATTTAGTTTTTGTCGTTATCACGGTATATACACTTTCCACGTTTGTTATATATTTTTTTCCCCTAAGAGGGGTCAATAAAGATTTATTATCATCATAAACCAATTCAGACAAGGCAAAGACAGGGCAAATATTGTTAATTAGGAGATAAAATAGAAACATTGTTTTATTTCTCTCTTTCTCTGTATGCTTTCTCTATAATAACTGCCAGATGCAAAGAACAGAGTTTATAACAATGACTGACAGGGAGCTAAGTTAGAGGTACCCAGTTGCAGGATAGGGATGCATAGATTTTATTTATTTTTTTACATTTTATTTTTACCGCACAAACATATTTGTTAAAGGGTACAATCAAACTAGTGTATGGCGCTTCACAATTAATATTTCAAAGATAAATAGATGATGTGACTGATAAAAGGGCTTCCCAGTAGCACCAAATATAGAAATTCAGAAGTATACCAGTCTACATGCACACTCCAAATATGTGAAATGATACAGAATAAAAGATACTACCATGAGCTGAAATAAGTTAGGATAGTACCTAAAAAATAAATAACAACATAGTGTGAACTGTTTCAAATACAGAACAAATTATAACTTTGGACTACCACTCACATTTCACAGAGCCGTACCAGGCTCTGTATAGCAGGTTCAAGGGTGCCAATTCCAGTAGTAGATAAGGAAGGACTTGGATATGTTAAAAATATATATAATTTATTGAATCAAAGAATACATTAAAATAGTTATGCTTGATCTCAGCCAAGCAATTTGATCTCAGCCAAGCAAACACAGAGGGCAGGGCCACTCTTAACAAGATAAGTAATCTGCCTTTTTTAAAGGCAGACATCTAAACAACACTAGTACACCTATAAATAATAACCCAGAATACATGTTTGTATTCCTGACACTTTAGTATTCCTTTATAGGGATAAGTAAACCCATTACAAATCCTAAATGACAGTTCTCCTTTAAGGCTATACTTCTCAAAGTATAATGTATGACAGACAGATTTCATTCTGCATTAGAATATATGAATTTGAGTCAATTGGGACAATCTCTATTTGCCCACACCTGTCTTACAAACTAGTATTTACTGTGATTTATACAAAGGCGTAAAAGGATTGGCCCAGCCTGTGCTCTCAACCACTTCATATGTAATTACTGGTATGGAACAAGATCAAGGACATTTTTTGAAAGTTTAACATGTGGTGAGAGTATTCTGGGTTATTATTTATTTTTAGGAACGGCACATTTTAATAAGAAATAAGCAAATGTGTCTGCATCTGCAATAAAATTTATCAAAAAATAAGGGAAGCCAAGGAGGTAAACATAGAAACTGTATAAAAACACAAATAATGTGGCCTTCGAAATAAAAAAGAACCAAGAGTCTCATGGAATTGGCGTGACTTGCATCGTGCTGAAAAATTGCTATTTTATTTGTGAAATGTGAATACAGTGCTAGGAAATGCCTAAATTATAATAATTTAGAAAAGGGCGGCCCATGAGGTTTTTATTGGTCCGTCTTAAAACCACATGCATGAATTTTGTTTTTTAATATAGTTCTGAAAATAATGTAAAACATAGATTTTATTCATACTATATGCGTTAGGAGAAATATTCTTATATGTTAATCCAAAATAATATGAATGCAATAGAAAGGGTACACTGAGCATCAGATTTTTCAAACACAATCTGGAGTATAGGTTTTGAGTAAAGGGGAAACTATAGTGCTAGGAAATTAAAGTTTTTTTTTTTTTCCAGCACTATAGTGATTTATAAGGGATTTTAGATGACACTGCATGTCCTTATGCAGAGTGTGAAGATGTCCAGCGTCATTTAGCAGACCAAAAGTCTATTAAGGTCCAGGACATGCCTTTAATGGCGCTCCTGGTAGACACCAGCTAGAGTTGGAGTTAACCCTGCTAGGTAATTATTGCAGTTTATCAATAACTGTAATAATTACAATTGCAGAGTTAAGGAGACTGGGACAATGCACCCAGACAACTTCAATGGGCTAAAGTGGTCTGTGTGCCTTTAATGCTCACACCAATGGACCAATGATGGACTGACTCGATCCTGCTGGTAATTAAAGTTTCCTGTAGTGGTTATATGGCCAGGAAAGCCTTAATGCTCTCCCAATGTATGCAGCTGAATAGTTTGACAAATTACCTTGGGTCTGACGGGCCAAGCTCGTTGCCTGAATGCGCTTAACTGATGCTCTCAGTCAATAAGACTGCCCTGCATGGCAAAGCTTAGCTCCAGGGGGGGTTGCTGACAGGTACCTAGAATATGCCAGGTAAGTTGTCAAACCATTCTTAAATGGTTTGACTACTTACTGTGGAAGAGTTCCAGGTGCAAGGCTAGGGTTAATGCACTTGGCATGTTCCTTTAAACCTGCACCTATGAAAGGCATCCGCTGGAGAACTAACTCCTGAACCATTTTAAGATTAACACACTTATAATAAATACCATAATAAAAGACATCTTTGTTAACTCTCCACCTTCAAAATATATAGCAATGGCTAACCTTACTTTTTTTTGGGGGGGGGAAGAAGTATTCAAAAAAGTGAAGATTTCAAAACTGTAAATCACTCTATTTTTCATGTCGAAAAGCACTAAGCAAATGTGAATGAGTGCCAATGTCCGTCCGTCTGTCCGTTATATAGCAAAGCAAAGAGTAGGGAATCAGGCAATAATATAATCTATCTCTAACAGATACTATGTGTTTCCTATTAATCCTTATATCGACACTCAATCTCACGATATGTAGATTTATCGAACGCACAAAAATTGTTCTGCGTTTGCACACGAAACAGAATCTACTTTAATACAAATCGAATTGCCGCATCGAGAATCTAGCTTTATCTGTAGGATGCTTTTCTGACAGAGCTAGATCACATAATACATTAATGTGAAGACTCTGCCTTTTTTCCAGACCAGACCACAGCAGATTTTGTTCTGAAACTTTCCCTCTGTCAGCAGTCTATTCCTCTCTCTCTCTCTATTTTTTTCCCTCGTGCTGTCTTTTTGTCTCAAGTTTGGAAAATATGTGCACACTCCAGAGGGAACAAGATTATAAAGAACTGTTGGAAAGCTGCGGTTTTCTTTTACTTTACTCATCCAGAATTAAAAATGAACCTAAAAGCAGAACTGATCTACGAGAAAAGGCTGTATTTATTATGTGGATTGGTATATTGGATGCAGGGGAAGTAAGAGAACATTACAAGAAATAGAATATCCCCCCCAACCCACTTTATTTTTTTAATATATACATGGGGTCCTCAAATTGCGGCCCTCCAGATGTTGCTGAACTACAACTCCCATGATTCTCTGGCTGTCTATGTAATTCAAATAATCATGAGAGATGTAGTTCAGCAACATCTGGATGGCCGCAGTTTGAGGACCCCTGATATATACATTTTCTTTGGAGAGGAAGTAACTAAAAATAGTTTTTTTTGTGGAACTTCCTCCGAAAAACAAGGGTAACGTTTCCTAACTGAATACAGTCCGTTGCTGTCTTTATGTTTTAGGGGTTGGTACAAAAAAAAATTTAAAAGTGAGCTACAAGTGATCAATAAATACAGTGTATGCCGGCGTGCCCAATGTGTAACTCTCCAGATGTTTTAGAGACATCAACCTCCATGATGCTTTGGCTTTGTGGCTTGTGTAACAGGGTTTTTTTTTTGTTTTTTTCTAAATTGAGAATTCAAAGTGAATTTCAAATCTAAGGCCATAATAGGCAAATTGGAAAAATTTTCTAAGTCGGCTATGTGATCAGTTTGGCTACTTTGGCCTAAAATGAGACGTTTACTTTAAATTCACTTTGAATTCTCACGTTGGTGAAGAACCCTGTGAGTTTTTGTTGCTGTTCTTTACAGCTATATGACCGCTTCATGAAGGTAATGTAGTAATCACATTGGAAGTTTTAGAAAGCCCACTAACAGACAAAAACGCCTTAAGAAACAAACAGATTTTGCCATTGTTTGTCCATGTGTCCTAGTTGGAAGCTAGCGTTTACTCGGATTCACAGAAGGAACATCAACACAAATCCTTAATTGAAACTAAAATGTCATCTTCAAGTTTGCTAGTTTGGGTAGAGCCTAGTACGTATGTCATTAGGTATGTTATAAAGTGCAGCCATGTAATTAATACTGGGACATTATAAGTCGCTAGTTTCTGATAATGTAAAACAAAAATAACTTTTTACAAATACGTTTGCCTCAAAGCCCTTGTCAAATTGTGCTGGCAATCTATAGACTGTAAATTCATCTGAGCAGAGTCTCACAATGTACCATACTTGTTTGTACCCATTTTTTTTTCTGCATCATTCACCAAAATTATAGTTTCCCTTTTACTGCAGTCACAGCAAACACAGTGTTAAGTTATTTTGGTTATCAGTTTCTCGACTGGGGTAATGGGCACACCTCAAAGGGTTAAGGTCAGTACCAACCATTAGTTATTTTGTTCACCAGTTAAATCTCTATTCACCTCGGCTTTGTTGCCTGTTGACTATGCCACCCAGCGTCCATCGCCGGTCCAGCCGCCGTAGATGGGCCTTGCGTCTCTTAGTTACTAGTACAGGAGGTGGATGGAAACATGAAGAGACAAAACGAAAAAGAAAAAAAAAGAAAACATGACAGAATGATGTGAATAAAAATAAGAATGTAAATGAAAACACAAATTACATGAAAAACTGAGCATGTTAAAATATGAGACCTATTAGAAAACGATATGTCGAAGGATGAAACATGAAATTTTAGAGCTCTTGATAGAGTTTATAGTATTGAGCAAAAATGACAATGACATAGGTTTAGTGAGACTTTATATATTCTATAAACATTTATATATTCTACATAAATGTGCAAGTAAGAGGTTTTAGTTGTAGATCTCACCAAGATCAGGAAAACCAATTAAACTTCATATGGTCAATTTTCATAAGAAACACTGTACATATAGACTACAGACCCTATAATCACAGTACTTGGAGTAACCCTTTAAAACAGTGAATATACTTTTATTTTTTGATTGAACATACCTAAAGGCCCAGCCGTCCTACTCTCGAGTATTCGATTAAGTCAATTCTTCTGCACTAAATTTGAGTTTGTCTGGATCCAGTAGGAAAAGGAGATTGGTCAAATTTGTTTATCATCTGTCATAAGATGCTGAACGTAGAACTTGGTAGGAAACTGGACCAAGCTCGGCCTAACCACTCTTGTGTTTGGATCACCAACGTATCTAATACTAGATGTTATCTAGCTTGAGTCATTCTGAGACATTTAAATGCTCTGTCACTGTAAAACAGCCCACTTACGAAATGGCAGATACTAGAGAACTTAACTAGCCAGTGGTTGCAGATTAAGGAGGCCAGAGTATCTGAACATTACATCATAGGTAACTATTGGTTTGCATATGTGGAACTACAACCTAATCAGCCCAAGTCCAGCTGCCCTGAAACTACTATCTAATGATATACCGGTCGTTAAGATAGACAGGCAGTAGTAGTTCATACGTGTTACAGAAAAGTATCCTTCGGTTCCATTATAACAACCTATTTATGCCTGGCCAATGAAAATAAACCTACCATGGTCAATTCATGAAAAGCAAACTCTCTCTTGGCATTAAATGTGTATATATCTTAGATTATGCATTAAACAAAAACAAGCTCTTGCAGTTTGCTCGCTTTGCATAGCACAAACATATAGATCTATTAATCTTCCTTAAAACATTGAGCTGATACAAAATAATTAAACAAGATGAATGTTATGCAAAGCACATACACCGCCATCTACAAATTATAAGTGAACATGAAACTGCAAATGATACATCATTTTAGACAATTCGAATAAAATTCAAAATGTTTGATGTGCTGTGAAGGTGTGGCAGCGATGAAGCCAGACTAATTCCAAAAAACAGATGATAAAACTAGTATTATTTAAGAAATTTAAAGTAAACACAAATTATTTAATGAAATTCACAGATGGGAATGGTGAAAGATGGGATATTTAAAGAGTTTAATTTGTTCAAGACACTGTAGAAAATTATGTATTTTAGAGAGTAAACTTTTCATTCTAAATTATTTACTTACAATTACAATTGATGGACTTTGTCGTGAGATGTCAACTCGCTAATAAACAAACTTTCCATTATACCTATATTATATCATTTATACGTGAATGATAACCGTAACAAAATAAGAAATTGTATAAAATACTCCAGCTGAACGTTTGTGGACATCACATTCCGTGCCTCAACATCATTTTTTCCATCATAGTATGGTCATTGAAGAAGTTATATTGAATGTCCCACTTATTGAGCACAGCCCTGCAGTTGGAAAATGAGGACATTGAGGGATAAATCACAATTCAGCCTTGGATTCCAATAACTCTTTCTAACTTTTGGCCAGGATCGCATGGAATGGTTTCAACATGATCGCAATCCAAAATATGTCACAACGATTTTCCGCCTGTAATTCTACCAAAGTAAGAATTGCTATTGATTTAAAACCAGGCTAAATGTCAGTCGTCCTCATTAGTCACACGATCTTGAGCCTGATACTGTGAGATAGTGAGGGTAACAACAAAAGAAATGTATCTATTTTGGAAGGAACTATCTGCTGATTCTTTTTTTTTTTTATAGTGCAGTGGTCATGGCAGTAGATGAAAGGTGGGTCTTTATCCTGTTGTGTTCCAGAGAGATGTTAATATGCCAATATGTATCTTTAACCTTGCTCAAATTGAAAATTTTTAGGTATATTGTATATGTGCGGTGGGCAAGAAGCTGAGCTGGTGGAAGAAAGGCATCTCAATTAGTTTTAAAATGTGCTTTTATTTCTTCATGTAAAAACACAGCTGGATCAGAGAAGATGGGGGAGCAAATGAGCCACTGATGCTTACATGTTTTGAGCCTTAAAGGCACTTCATCAGAAACTTATAGTGCACATGTGTATTTGTTGTGTTATCAATTTTGCTAGATTTTTTTTTTTTGTCACATAGCCTATTTGTACTTTAGGTGCTTTAACTGATTCACGAGGAACTATTGGCATAAGTTTGATGTTGCTCACCTCTCAATTTGGCATAAAATAGTCAATGAACATCTTCCTACCACAGACCACCGTTCGTCCTTAAAGTATATCGTTTGACAAATCTGAAACATTGTTTTGAACTTGAATTCTAGATCTTTTGACAATAATATACTTAATTTCTTGGCAAACTTGCAGCTCATGCTACATAGATTGAATTTGGAAATACAATATATGAAAACATGGTCAATATCTAAATTCCACTGTGGGAACTGAGTCAGTCATGGGAGAGTCGTTGCTACATTGTCTATTGACCTTCTGGCTCAGCTGTCGAAGAATGGGTGTAGAAAATAACGCGTTTCCAGGGAGTGTTATGTGTACAAAAGTTCAGCTGGACTCTTCTGAGTATTTTTTAAAATGTCCAATTTTGTTTTTGTCATGATTCACATTCCAAACAGCTGACCAGGTTCTAATAAATGATATGACAGATATTCTGGACACTAGTTGACATCTTCCCACCAAGTCCATCAATGTAATTTAGAACGAAATGTTGACTCCCCTACAAATTACATCCTTTTCTACAGTGTGTAGGGGGGGGGTTTGACATGTTGATAACATAAAAGGCCTAATTTATCAAAGCACAAGTAGAGCAGTGTTGGCAAACAATCTATTCTTTGACAGAAAGTGATCTTATCAGTTTGTCAACTTTTAAGGAGAACAAAATAAGAGGCAGTTTTTAATTCTCTATTTGTGAAAGAGTTTAACTCAAATACATATATTAGCAAAGAGCAGCTTATAACGCTTTATTGTCAATAACTACACAATTTTTTTTTTTCTTTTTCGTGTGTTTCTTTTGTATTTTTGTCATTGTGTCCTGATGTTTTATGTTTTTTTGTAACTCAAGGTGACTGCATATTCATCAACAGTTTACTTTTGGTTTATCTTTTCATTATTTAACGCCAGAGTTAATGGCAATGGATCTTAAAAAATAAAAAATAAAAAATTGGGGAGTGAAAAAGTACCGCCTGGATTTCTGAGAGATTACTGGTTTCTTGAAGGCTGGTAAATCCTATTAAAAGGACCACTATAGGCACCCAGACCACTTCAGCTTAATGAAGTGGTCTGGGTGCCAGGTCCAGCTAGGGTTAACCCTTTCTTAAATAAACATAGCAGTTTCAGAGAAACTGCTATGTTTACAGTAGGGTTAATCCAGAGAGACAGCCACTAGAGGTGCTTGCGTGCGTCTCACTGTGATTTTCACAGTGAGAAGACACCAGCGTACAATGCTTTCCTATGGACTGGCTGAATGCGCGCGGCTCTTGCCGCGCATGCGCATTCAGCCGAAGAGGAGGAGGAGAGCTCCCCGCCTGGTGCTGGAGAAAGAGGTAAGTTTAACCCCTTCCTCTCCCCAGAGCCTGAGGGTGGGGGCACCCTCAGGGCACTATAGTGCCAGGAAAATGAGTATGTTTTCCTGGCACTATAGTGGTCCTTTAAACATGAGACATGTTCGTTTTCCTTCTTTTTTTGGTATTTGAGCAAGTGTTTTGTCTTTATGTGATTATTGTAAAATGATTTGGTATATGCTTGCTTACATGATACTTTGTACCATATAAGCTGGTGTCTGCAAAGTAACAAAATTCAAGGAAAGGGAGGAATCAAGATAAAATAAATACGATAATAAAAAAAGTAAAATTGTTAACAACTGTAGTGACCTGATTTAGTCAAAACCATAAATAATTCCTCCTACTTAGATTTGCCAACAAGAAACCACATACTTAAAGGACCACTATAGTGCCCTGAGGGTGCCCCCACCCTCAGGGTCCCCCTCCCGCCGGTCTCTAGGGGGTGGAAGGGGTTAAACTTACGTCTTTCTCCAGCGCTGGGCAGGGGACTCTCCTCCTCGGTTGAATGCGCATGTGCGGCAGGAGCCGCGCGCGCATTCAGCCAGTCCATAGGAAAGCATTCACAATGCCTTCCTATGGATGCTGGCGTCTTCTCACTGTGATTTTCCTCTATGAGACAGCCACTAGAGGCTGGATTAACCCTATTATAAACATAGCAGTTTCTCTGAAACTGCTATGTTTATAGAAAAAAGGGTTAAACCTGGCACCCAGACCACTTCATTAAGCTGAAGTGGTCTGGGTGCCTAGAGTGGTCCTTTAATGATTCTTTCTATTTTCACCCTAGTGATGTGCTTTGTATATTTTGAATTGCATGGTCCTGATCATCATTCCATGACATACTCTGCCTTAATAGGTCTTTTCAGAAATGTAAAAGTGAAAATATAAAGATATAAGCTTAACATGTGGATAATTATTCTTCACTTGCGAATCTCATTGGAATGTCGAGTTTGATTTATGAGGATTGGAGGAGGGATTTGTTGTAGTTTTCAATAAGTACATACAATGTCTTGCATGGCTCACAGTTAAACGCCGGACATTGATTGACTCATAAAACTTGAAAGGGAAAGTCATTTTCTCAGCACTTTAAGCTGGGAAGGGCAGCAACAAAAATGCAAGTTCAAACCACAATACAAGGCATTTGAGAAACCGGTTCACTTTGAAAAGAGGCGTTAACGCTTTCAGGCCATATTCCATACATTGCAGACCATAAGCAGCCTGCATTTCTCTTTTATCCTGGGTTTGTTGAGCAGAAACCAAGGATAAGGAAGGTTGAACATGGTAGAGATGATAAAAAAAGGGAAAATGTCTTTTGGACATAAATAAAATCCATGCATGACGATAACTAGTAACTAGCAGCTTACTTAAAGTGTTAATGAGACTTCAAATTTACTTTAATTTATAGAAAAGTGCACAATAAGAGTGTAGAAAAAAATAGTGCAAGTACACGACACTTGCTCCTTTGTGCTAACGTTTTTTTTATTGGCCTCATTTCCAAAGGTATGTCGTCATCAGCCCAAAGGATTAATGCCATACCGGTTCATCCAATGTGCCCTTAGCAGTGTCTTTACTGCTTATTTAGTTATTTAAAGCAATGATGTGTTTTAAAATGTGTGATGGAAGACTTATTGGGAAAGAACACAGAGAGGAATGATCAATGAGGTACACGTGTAATATTGGTTGCATCACCGATAGTTTTAGGCTTCAATCATCCACCCTGTGAGCAAACCAAATCACACTTTCACACTTTAGATTTAGATAGATACTTTAAAATTCCATTCACATTCTCCCATACCTCTAAAACCAATCTTGGTTGGGTTAATGATTGGTGCAAAATAGAATGGGAGATTGGGGACCTTTATATGTTTTAGATAATTATGTGACAATTTGCCTATCCAACACCATGTTATCAAAGCTGCATCTATATTGTCTTTATCTTACATAATCAAAAAATTGAACTTTTAATCCAGGTCTTGGTTCCTCCGTACAAAAATAAAAATAAACTTTTTTTTCCTACAAATTTTGCACTTTTATAAAATGTTGGGTAACTCAATATAAAATTACTTTAGTTTTATTTGGCTGACATAGTTGTACACACAATGATAATTTACATTGTCAACATGTTATAAACCCCCCAGCCCCCCAGGCCCCAAGAAATCACTTTGCATCTAAGTGTAAAAATCAGTTATATTTTCATGAATGATGCTTTCAGAACGGATTTACTCAAACCTCTTGTCTTCAAATGGCAAATATTTTCAGATGTTCTACAGATTTCTATAGCGTAAAATCTGCAGGAAACACCTTTCATTATGCGGGCAAGTATATTACGACAGCAATGCATAACAAAAACACAACCTTCATTCCAAGGTTCTGCTCTTGAAAGTGAATCTGGTCACCTTAAACAATTTAAAGTGATCATGCATTGTGCAGAGCAGCAAGGGATTTAACACAGATGTGCCGCACGTGTGATGAAAAGCAATTTGAAATAACCAAATAAATGGAATTTTATGCATAGGCTCATTTTTGCCATTTTGAATACTGCCATTTCAATTTAATGTCTCACCTTCGAGTCAGACTAAGTCTCAAACACTTTGCATTACTGGGCAGCAAGGCTGTTAATCAGTTAGCTCCAGCTTGCCAATATCCCTACTGTGAACGCTCCCTCCTTATAGGAACAAATCAAAGCATAGACTGCATATCCACAGTTTGCAACTTCCTTGATAGTAAAACACCCCAGTAAGGCTGCTACCAGTTTACAATGCAATTCCTATCATCCGAAGTGATGGCTGGATCTGCTCTCTGGAGTATATCATATAAACTCCTGCTGGACCGGGGATTATGGGTTATGACTCTCAATAGACTAGAATCAAAGGCTCCTCGTTGGAACATCTAGCTATGCAGTGGGAGGTATGTGCCTGCAGAAGATCCCACTAAGCAATGCACCAAGGGGGCATGTTAAAAGGTAAGTTTCTATTTGAGTTGTCCTTAATTTGGGTTGTTGTTTTTTTATTATTGTATTATCATGAACAATACATGGTTACATTTTAATAATTAAAAATACTTGAAAATGAGAGAAATCTCAATATATGCATCCTGGTAAAATATTTTAAAAATAAATAAATATAATATAAATCAGTCTAAAATGATTCATCTCTCAAACTCAGAGCAAACCCAATGAAGGGCAGTTCTATCCATACTAGAGCTTTTCTGTGGAGCTCTCTACAGCCTGCTCAGCTGGCTTTCAAGACAGAACAGATGCACATCCTTTCAGAATGTTGCAAATCACCAGTGATGTACATTCTGTCTCTGGAATGCCCAACCAGGTCCATTCCACCTACACCCATATTTCGTGCTGTTAGGAGGCTTGAGGTGGTCAGACTTTCTTTTAAACTGACTTTTATGCGGGCAATGATTATTTTAAATATAAACCTGGTGTGTACATTTTTCATTTGTGTCACTTCCTAGGGGAAAGTACACTTTATTATGCAGGGATAGACTTTTTAAAATTGCATATGTGAGAGGTGAAGCTAGAAACCTGTAATTTCATAAAACAGAAATACAATGTAGATACATGTATCTAGAAGTAATCTAGACTCGGGTCTTTTCGAGTAAAGCATAATTTAGGTAAACTTACCATCCCCCAGTTTCGAGGTATTGATTTCAGAATCATCTTTGGTTCCACCCTGTGAATCTAGGTAGGTTGCCGGTACCCAGCCTTGTTCCTCTGCTGTGCTCACAAACCACCAACCTAGGGAAGACAGAAGCCAAACGTCAAACTTAAGTCACTGGAAAACTCTCAGTAATCACAAAGGGAATGCGTACAAAAACCACAAATAAAATACATTCTTTAACCCCTTAGTGAACAGGCCATTTTTCAATTGTATTACCATTAAGGACAAGGGCTCTTTTTACATTTCTGCAGTGGTTGTGTTTAGATGTAATTTGTCTCTTACACATTTACTGTACCCATACATATTATATACCATTTTTCTTGCTATTAAATGTTCATTATACAGATACCATTATTTTTATCATATCATATAATTTACTAGAAAAAAAAAAAGTAAAATATGATGAAAAATGGAAAAAAACACACAGCTGGCCATCATGCACCCATGTCCCAGTTGGAACATTTCTGAAGCCGGCCAATGTAATTCACCCCCGTCAAACCGTATGTTTTTGAAAAGTAGACACCATAGGGCATTTCACATGGTGGCATTTCAACACTTTACATGCACTAATTCTACCACCAGTCTCTGTTTGGGTAGTCATTTATTTTGTGGTGTTATTTTTCACTCACACATTCTACATCGGGCATAGATTCTCAGCTCCTGTTAGGTATTACTGCCAAAGGACACCCCAATATGTGCTCAGCAACATCTCCCGAGTACAGCGATACCACCTATGCATAGGTGTGTCGGGTTCTCTGGGGGGTGCAAAGCAAAATATCTGATATGCGTTTTTCAAATGTTACATATCTTGTTTGCCTATCTTTCTTTTGGGGGCCTTTTCAGATATCCCAATGTATTTTCTTGCCATGAGCGTGCATATATTTGAAAAGTTGACACCCCGCAGTACTTTATATGGAGTGTTTTGATGCCTTAGATCAGTGATGGCGAACCTATGGCACGCCGGGCCCTTTCTGTGGGCACGCGGCCACAGGTTCGCCATTAATGCAGAGTAGGCACCTGCCTGCCGAAACGGCAGGCGCCTACTCTGCTTCCGGGTCGGGAGGCAGGGGGAGGGATCTGTGATGCAGATCCCCTGTCCTCCCGCGCGATGCTGTGTGGAGCGTTGCCATGGCAACGCTCCACATAGCATTGCGCGGGAGGACAGGGGAGCTGCATCACAGATCCCTCCCCCTGCAGTGCTTACCACCACCGGACCACCAGGGATGGCTGTGTCCCCCCCCCCCACTTCATTAAAGGTAAGAAGGAGGGAGGGAGGGGGGGTATACTGACACACAGCACCCTTACCCCAAGTACCCTTACCCCCAGAGTACCCCTACCCCCCCAGCAGTACCCCTACCCCCCACACACAGTACCCTACCCCACACACACAGTACCCTACCCCCCAGCCCTACCCCCACAGTAGCAGTACCCCTACCCCCACAGCAGTACCCCTACCCCCCACACACAGTACCCCTATCCCCCACACACAGTACCCCTACCCCCCACAGCAGTACCCCTAGCCTCCCAGCAGTACCCCTCGGTAGCTCGGAATTGATGGGCATATAAATTAGTTTGGGCGACAATGTTCCCCAATACATCATCGCCCAGAAACACCCCCATAAACTGCTGAGGGCTAAATCCTGTGACATCCAAATTAATGCCAGGATTTGCAGTAAAGGATGGAATGTCTGGCCTCTGGCGATGAGGCACTAACCACTCCTCAGCAGTTCTACCAGCTGGAGCAGCACGTCTCTTTCTGGCAGGGGGACTAGCAGGCACAGATACAACATCACTAGATACATCACTAGCAGCAGACACTGTATCTAGTGATGATGTATCTGAGCACCTGGCAGGGTCAAAATCAGGGTCAGAGTCTGACATAGACGTGTCAGACTCTAGCGCAAGGGTGGCATATGATTGCTCAGCGCTGGTTGACTTCCGTGACCCATGTGACATGATCACAATCACTTTACTTAGTGACCTGTCACAAAAAACAAAACAAAAAAAATGAACAGACAGCAAAATAAGTGCTGCTGTGCAAGAGCCTGTGATCTGTATATCTTTTGGGTCTCAAAAAAAAAAAAAAAAATCACAAAAAAATGAACCCCTAAAAAAAATGCACAAACAGCAAAAAAGTGCTGCTGTGCAAGAGCCAGTGATTATAGTGATCACTGGCAAGACAGGGGTTAATGGCTCTGAAAAGAGCTTTTGGGTCTCAAGATTTTACAAATCCCTACCTATAAACACCTAAATCTCTCTAGCTAAACCACAGATCTCTCTCCCTCTCTCACTAAAACACAAGTGAAGAGAGGGAGGCAGATCCACACTAATCAGAGAAATGGGGAACACACTTGGGATGAAATTGCTAATGGGGCAAGCTGTGATTGGATGACCCCAGCCTGCCCCTTATGATGAGGCAGGCTAAGGACACCCCCAGAAGCCCCATGATTCACTGCCTTTAGAATGGGAGGGGGGTTAATATTGATCATTTTATTTATTTTATATTTATATTTTTATATATATTATTATATCTGCACTGAGTGCCAGGACCCCTCGAGGCACTCAGCGCATGCAGAGCATCACTGCAATACTATCAGAGCTTCCAGCGCTCAAAATAACTGCGGACATACAATGTACATCCAAGGTCATTATGGACCGTTTTTTGCCAGACGTACCTGATACGTCCGCGGTCGGGAAGGGGTTAACTGAATCAGTTGCTGGAGTCCAATGTGGATATACTTGGAATTTGTTTTTCTATAGGGAAGAGGAACTTATTTTGTATCTAAAACCAATTATATTTTAGCAGAAATTTGCACTTATAAAATATAGGTTAAAATTAAATTAAAAATAGTTGCGCACAGAAAAAAAAATATTTGTTATGGCATAAACCATTCAGGTCTCCAGAAATCACTCTGTAAATATAATCATCAATATTTCACCTTCCTGATGGAAGTTGTTGAATAGATTTAAGTTTGTGTGTCCGTTACGCTTATTTTATTTTCTCCTATAGCTACATGAACTAATCAAGTTTAATAAATATCACCATCATACCGCACCCAACAGTCTCTCTGATATGCGAGTCAGGGTGTCTAATGCCTCATTTCCACTGAGCGGTACGGTTCGGTATGGTACGCTATTTTGAGTGTTTCCATTATGAAAGTGGCCCATACACCCGAACCAAACCGCACCATTCCTAGTCCCCCTTCAGATGTCGGGCCATAGGAAATGGTACGGTACAGTTAGGGCAGAGCTACTGGCGTCACACTATACAATCCATTGATTGGCGGACAGGAAAACGTCAATGCTCACAACGAATGACACGCTAGACATTTGGTCTAAACCCCTCGTGCCACCTGGTGGTCCGACTTACAGTGAAAACGCTCACCCGAATAGGCTGGACCATTCTAACCCTTCCAAACTGTACCGACCCATACCGCTCAGTGGAAACGAGGCATAAGATAAAATGTAAGTGACTCTTATTCCAATCCAAGATAAAAAAAAAGACCAGGTGTAAGCACACTCAGTAATATAGTTACCTTCTACAATGTAATAAATATTTAAGATAACGGTGTATGCTGTATCTAGCAGAGTACAGAAAGATATTCGCATTGGGAGCCGTAAGGTAGCTGCACGTGTGTTTGTGCAGAGAACTGCAGTGATGTCTTGTGGAAACAAAAGGTTGAAAGTACAGCATTCATGATTTTGAATTTTGAGTGTCTGTGAACAAGAAAGTACCCCGGAATGGTGGAACAGCTACTAAACAGTGTTTACCAAGAAAATTGCATAGAAGCGAAAAGTATGGTGAGGATAATAGCAATCAGACACTACCACAGATGGAAAAGATAGAACAACTATTTCTATATAGCGCACATATACACACACTCTTTAAATATTCAAAGGCTCCTGCACTTGCACACAGAGTGCTCACTGCAGCCACACTGCTCCCTCACCAGGAAAAGGCTCCACCAATCAGGATCTCTCATTCTGGTCTGTGGAGTTTGATCCTATCCCATAAACTTCGGTCCAGCAGGGGGTTTATGGGAGTAGTAATTTTTCCTCCAGGAGCAGTTCCAGCCATCATATACGATACATGTGAATGAGGTATAAATGGATATCAGCCGTACCGCAGCAATCTGTTTACATGGAGTTCAGGTCACAGCTTGAATTTCTCCTGGGTGTATAACTTGGACAAAACTGTCACAGGCAGCTAGGAAGATAGCATTCTGATTGCCTGAGTGACAGCTCTAAGGTAAGGTCTTAGAGTTGTTGTGATGTTTACAAAGTTAAGAGCTGGTGCAGGATGTTCTCTCCACTATAAATCATACACTAATGCAAAGTTGCTTAAAGGAGCACGATAGGGACAATGCAATATACAATACATATATTCCTAACCCTCTAGTGTTAAAACCACTATTGGGTGGCCGCCGCCCAACATAGGATAAAAACTCCCCTTTATGCCAGCGTTGCGCAGGTCTGCCAGTTTTGGCCCCCACCCTGGTCCGCCTCCTTGGCTAACATAATCAGAATTAATCATCTCAGCCAATCCAATGATTTCCCATGGGAAAGGATTAGATTGGCTGAGATAGTAAGTTCTGATGATCTCAGCCAAGGAGGCAGGCAGGGGTGGGAGGGGCGGAGAAAAACAGGAAACACTGCACTGACCAATCAGCATCTTATTCAGTGGAGACACTAACCATAAACTGACACAGGAAGCACCTCTAGTGGCCATCTTAGTGACTGCCACTAGGGGTGTTCCTAGGGAACAATATAAACAATGCCTTTTCTTTTTCTCTGAAAAGGCAGTGTTTACATTAAAATGCCTGCAGGGACTGACTATACTCTCCAGTACATTAAGCTGTAGTTTTTTTTGGTGACTATAGTGTCAAAGTTTTTTTTATATACAAACTGCCAGTGGAATTTGAAGGGGGGGGGAGGGGGGGGTTTGCCACACTACCATTCTGCCGTAATCTTGGTTACACATAAAGGATTAATTTCACTCCCCCAGAGATGAGTTGGAAGGATGCTATATAACAGCTCAGGCAAGCAAAGTCACAGAGTTATTGAAAACAGATTTCCCTCTTAAGCAACTATCTGCACCCTTTGACTGCCAGCAGGATGTCCCAGGCACAGCGATAAACATATTGTTTAACATCCATTCCTAATTAATGGCAAAAAAAGAAAACAAATATATACAAGGACACGGTCTGACATTCAGCTGATTCTATACTAACAGGAATTTTAATGCTTGCTCACATGAACCCATGTGATTTATAAATTGAGGCAGCTCTGGAGAAGTTTGGCTTGTAACAAAACTCAAACTATAAATGTTTGCCAACTGTTTTTGCTTCATTTGTCATATGGAGCTGGATTTAGTGCTATAATCAGGACAAAAAAAAATTAAATAAAATCTGATAAATATACTTGTTTTATTATTCAATGCTATATTCAAAAAGTCACAAATTTAATGTCCACAGTTGTCCTCACCTGAAAACCTACACGGTAGGAAGATTAAAGTCTTATGACATGATTTTACAGGAGATAAACTTATTCCAAACATCTCCTAAAATTGTAGCCTGCCCTGGGTTCCTCCTATCCTGCTTGACCCTAATGTGGGTGTCCTGGACAAACCTATTACTAAAAATTATTATTGTACTTAGTAGCGGCGTAGTGTGGGTTGCCAGAACTCCCCGAGTCCCTTAACGGGTGCCTTGATAGCCTCACTCCTCCTTCCTTATCTGCCTTATTGTCGTGATGTGTGTGACACTGATAGTTGCATATTTTTTTTTTTTTTTAATGCACCTCACATCTTAAGTAATGTGTATAGTCTGTACGTACCGGTATGATACCATTCAAAATGTTTGTACATAATACCTAGAAATAGCGTGATTTCCCATTTGAAGATACCATGGCTATATTTAGCAAAAAGATACTGTAAAATATTACGTGGCAATGTTTATGTCCACCGTCAGGTTAAAAACTGTGTAGAATGTTCAAGCATTGGGAGATTTTTTTTATGCGAGGCGGAGGGGGCAACATGTTTTATTAAGACACTTTTTTTTCTTTTGAATTTTGCACCTCTAACAATTTTGAGCCCAGGGCAGGTTATACTGGAGAAGAGGAAGTCAGTTTCCTGTAAAAAAAATAAAGATTTAGAATGGCTTTGCAAGAAGAACGTGGTTTAATAAAACAATGGCTGTAATCGGTTTTAGATCCAAATCAGGTTGCGGCCCAATAATACTTTAGTATGCTTGGTATATTTTCTTTCTGGTTAGCACATTTTTCTTGACCTTAGGCTAGCTTGAAATTATATTCTACTCTGAGAGATTTTCTCAACTTTTTTGTTGTTTTTGTTCCCATATTTATAGGTTACTTTAACTGTGCCTAGTTACCGCCATGCCAGTTGATCATCAAGTTATAGTATAGATGAGCAAAAGAAAGACTTCAGACAGTGTTGCATGTCAACATCAAAACGTATCTCATAGAGAGAGTCTCATCCAGGAGTGTTGAATGTCTATACACTCCTTTAGTTACCTTTCCCTACAGCTGGAAGCTACGTGAAAGCCATGTAGACTCCATGAATACACATAACTGAAGAATGTATATCTGTTTTTTATTTGGCAGGGGCTTACAGGCCTTAAAACGTATGCGTCTATAATGGTCCTCCTTTTTCCATAATATACACGTCCAGCTATACCGAATACCAAAAGAAACAATGTTTCCAGACCTTCGATAAGTGAAAATACACAGTTGTATAATTGGACTTGGCAGTAGCTCAACTACCTAACCAAACATTTCTAAAGATGAGATCAAATAGTTACCTAAAGGAATAAGAAAAGATTCGAAAAGTCACTAATGGCTAAACGATTGTGTATTTTCAATGTCTGGATTTTGTTTGATGGTTTTGCTACAGAGAGAAAGTCATACTTACTGAATGTCCCTCTTTAGGTGGGATAGATAATTTTGGGAACACGTATCCCCCTCTCCCTCATCTCTATCCTGGTATCATTATTCTCTATTTTCCTTTCTACTTTTCTATCCTCAAATTGGCCTTGACTTTCCAAATGATTCAATACGGGTAGAAAAACTTTTCAAATTATTTATATAATAGTCACTATTATAGTTTACGGTAATGTTTGTAGATAAATCATTTGAAATATTTCTCTGACAATGCTGAATCATCTCAAAAGTTTATTAAATCAAGACCATTGTTAGAAGCTCAGAATATTGTTTAAAGTGTATCATTGTAAAACTGAGCTTTACAGCAAAAAAAGGAATTAAAAAAAGTCTTGAAACTATAAAGATTCTGTATGTTTTCAATATTCCTCAGTCCAGCAGGGTTACATCATATCACGGTGTTTTTCAGGGAGATTAAGGCTCAGTTGGAAACCATTAAAAATTAGCTGTCACTCCAATGTATCAAATGTTGGAACTAAACTTGATTTCACCTATGAGTAATAGCCTATAGGAAAATGCATTATACATGCATGAATGGAGGTCACTGCCTAAATACCGGCATATATAGAATATGTGGGTATGTATCGGATTTATAGATAAGAAACCATATTTTACAAAGTGAGGACAACATCCTCTGATTCTCCTCATTGGCAGGAGGTATTAGAGGACATACAGAGTGGGATTTACATGTCGAGGGGCCTTAGGCTCATGAAATTTGGCGCCAACAGTCCATTGTACTTAATGCTTCATTAAGTAAACAGATGGGTAGATGGGGAAAAAACTCTTTACACTAAATGTATCACCCCTTTTTTTTTTTTTTTTTACTTTGACCAAATTCCATGTAAGCCTTGCCCAAATGGGTACCCCTATAATGGTTAAAGGAGTTTACAAATTTCTATACAAAGTTAGAAATCTTATCGTTTGAAAACTCATTAAGCCAAGAGCAATCACATGTTCAGTTGGGACTCACATTAGCCAGATCTTTCTCAAAGATGTTGTGTAGTTATTTTACAAATAAGCCCCAGAGCAGAAAATATTCATATGTTTTCTTTCACTGTCAGCTGAGTTTTCATAGAATTCCAATGACCTAAGATGTTTACAATTCAATATTCTGCTGGAAGACATGCAATCATTTGGACAAACTATGAAATCATTCTGCTCTCCCCTGTAAGGGGAACTGAATTCAGAGTAAAAAGATAGGATACGGAGGAGACTTGTTGGAACTCACATCAAAACTTTAAGTGATGCAAATGTTGAAATTATGCATTTGCCTGTGTCTTTGTTTAATATGTCCCTAGCAAGACAAAAGAAATGTTTAGGCACACATGGTTTTTGAAGTACATTAACACAACCTTTGTGCAAATAAATGGCCATCTTACTTCACTGCCAGTCATTTGGGCAACATAGGTTTGTGTGGCATAGTAATAACACACACATACCTCTCCCTATGCTCCTGCACTGGTCCTCACCCAGCAGAGAAACAAACGTCTCTGCTGTAGCTCTGACGAGTTTCTATGCCTTACACAGAGAGACTAAATATCATTGCACTATTATCCCACTATAAATGAGCAGACAGAGCCTAGTTCCTAAAATGAAGCTGAAACAGTATCCACTGATTCACAAAAAAAGTATTCTCATCAGCAGGGCATTTAAAAATAGTTATTACCATTTTATTTTAGTTATTTATTATTTATACAATATTTTACCAGGAAGGATACATTGGGATTTCTCTCATTTTCAAGTATGTCCTGGGTCCACAAAACAATGCATTTATAGCATTATATTTAAGGTATTTTTGAATTGCAGTCTATACACAAAATAGCTGGTTCTCCTAACTTTATATACGAGTTACCCATGATATGTATTAAATTAATAGTTCTCAAAAAGCTTTGTATTTAAAGTAAATAGAACAGCTTCTCCCGTATTGGCATTTGCGCATATCACAGTTAATGGTGCCGTTAGTCCCTGAACCATTTCCATTTAACAGTGAATCAGGGTTCCCAGCCTAGTCCTCTCTGACAGAATGTCTAAGGGGGATTTTTGCTCAGTCTTAACACCATACAAAATCATATCACTGGTAGTGCCACTGGCTGCTGCTGCTGGTATGATTTGGTATGTTGGAAGCCAGAAAGTAACTCTGTATTAGCCATTCCATCAGTGGGGTCTGAGCTGTGGGTGCCTGGGGACCTTGATTCACTATTAAACCGCTGGGAAACAATTTAAATACAAAACAGGGGGCAGTGCTCAAGGCACAATAACGACTAAAACACAGTGTTCTTTTAACGTCCAGAACCGCACTGCTGTATTTCCTTAAATGTGTCAATATTCTTAAAGAGAATGTTCAGTGATTATTAATTTGAGTACTTTTCCAGAAAAGTGATGATTTGCCTTTAAGTACAAATGTTATTGCATAGTTTCAAGGATAGGTCCACCACCCCTCCCATATTGTTCCAGTCAAATACTTTGTACCATCTCATATATATTACTCTGGTACCACTTATTGACAGTCTTCTGGATGCATACCTGGGTACATCCTGAATCATAAATCTTAAACGTCTGGAAGGAAAACGACATAATGATATTCCCCAATGCACCCTGAAATATTCCGATCAGCATATATATTTAACACTAGATCGTTTTAGAAGAAGAAAAAAAACCTTTGCGTTTTTATTCTGTTATGTTCATTATTTTCTATATTGAGCATCACGGTTTATTGCTCACAATACAGGGGTTTACTTAAGGGACATGTAAAAAATGTTATACAAAAATGCCTTTATAGTAAAACCAGTTGCAAAATGTCTGCACATATTTGTCTAGGAATGGACAACAAATGTATCCGTGGTAGCAGGAGACAAGGCCGAAATAAAAGGTGTGACATTTTGGGGTCTACACTCCATAATTATTATGAATACTTCATAATTATGGACTTTGCACATCCACATAATTTTGTGCGTTAGTGTCGTTGAATGCCTTGCTTTCTGTAAGATTGTTCACTGGGATTGCAGGCACAGATCTCTCATTAATTGCTACCTTTCATTGTGTGGTAATTTTAAAGAGGAGGACAACGAGTTATGGTGTCGACTAAAAGCAATGTGCAAGGTAGTTTCAAATCTACCGCTTTCTCTGTTACACAAACTTTAAAAATCCATTTGCTACCATGAATGGTATAAAAACAGAGTGGACCTAATTAATAAAAAGTTAAAGGAACACTATAGGGTCAGGAACACCTGTATTCCTGACCCTATACTGCAAAACCCACCATTTAGGTGTCGCCCCCTCCCCCCTTAGTACCCTTACATGTTAATAAAACTCACCTGATTTCCAGTGCCGTGCAGGTCCGCTGGCCCCGCCCCCTTAATGACATCCTCAGAATTGCAGACTTTTAGCCAATCCAATGCTTTCCCATTGGATAGGCTAAAATCGGCAAGGGGCGGGTCGAGCACCATTTTGGCCAATCAGCACCTCCTCATCGAGATGCATTGAACCAATGCATCTCTATGAGGAATATTCAGCGTCCCCATGCAGAGCGTGGAGACGCTGAACGGCAGAGCTGCCTACTGTGCAGCACTGAGCCAGGAAGCACCTCCAGTGGTCATCTGAGGAGGGGCCACTTGGAGGTGTCCCTAGTGGCAATGTAAACACTGCCTTTTCTCTGAAACAATTGTACTCACTAGAACAACTACATTAAGCTGTAGTTGTTCTGGTGACTATAGTGTCCCTTTAACTTATGATGGCACCATAAGTTAACTTTTTGTCAGTGGAGCTACAAATCCCACGGTGCTCAATCATTCACTAATTCATAATTTAATTTTTTTAGCTATGTGTTGTCCCATTACTAGCTAGTTAAGGTTCCTTTTTCATTTCTTCAACTAATCTGAAAGAAACGAGTCCAACACACAATGCTACCTATAATGAGCTCACATGTACACCAGCCAATCGCCAAATCTCAGATGTTACAGAAGCCAACAACACATTTTCTTTTTAAATGAATCCTGTAAATCTTTTGGACATGCGAAGACGGTATCCAACTGTACTTACTGTTTCAAAGATGGAACAGGGAAGCACAATGAAATATATAATGGATAATCTGCCATATACAATGTCTTTTTGGCCGACTCCTGCTTAGATAGGTCTAATTATTTGTGTATTCAGCTTTTTTTTAAAAAAATAAAAAAAAAATTTTTTTTTACATATTGGGAGCAGCGAACAGCTGAGTGTAATTGATTTACCAGATGTGTCACAAAGCCCAACTAAAAACGGCTGTAATAATCAAATAGTACTCCGCGCAACATCTGCTTCTTTTGATCTGCGGATGGAATTATTCAATTAATGATAATTGAAATATTAAAATGTTGCAAAGTCTGTGCAACTTATGAGATGGATCAGCATTCGTGGGTTAAAAAAAAACAAAAAAAACACAAGCGGCTGAAAATGATATATAGGTACAAAAATCTGCTTACAGAGGACTTGTTGGATGCTATGTAAGAGCAATATGGGGCAATAGAAGAATCAGTCATTCTGCTCAAACCCCAACGTATATTCCTGTATGGTTAGACTTTTTGCAGTGACTGACCAATATCAGATTTTATTTTGTATTCGGCATTTGCCCAAGGGTGCTGGCTAGCCAAATAATTTTTTCTTTGAATGTTTCCCATTATGAGGAGCTTTATAAACTCAAACACACAATAATCTACATTTATTAAAACCCCAGAGCTGTATTAACATGACACTGTGATCTTGGTTCTTAGACACCACTGATACTTTTCTGATTTACATTAAAAACACAAGCAAAGATGGGGGATGGGTACCAGTTTTCCAGTGCCTGAGCCCAGGAGATATAATGTGAGCCTTAAGAGTGACATCATCCACAAGGTTTTAACCAGAAACCATGTACCAACTGGCTGCTCAGTGGATTAAACAGATTTGACCATTTTAAGTGATGAAACAACATTGTAACACCCTTCTGCAGCTGTCAAAATCAGAGCTGAGCAATATGCACATGTAAAACGACCTAGGTATCAAGGTATTGTAAAAGCAATTTTTTTTTTTTTTTTTTTATTCTTTATTTATGAGTTCAAGGATTCAGCCTACAGAAGTAAGAGTATGAAGTGTCATATTACAGTGACAAACATCACCATACAGTACACTGTTGATAATCAAGTACACTGCAGGCCAAGCTGCGATCTTCAAGTCTAACCGTACGTAAGTTGTCACAAAGTGCCACAACTTCTATTAGCTTCATCCCGAACATTTTCATTGGTTTTATGAGGTAACAAGAGAGAAAGCGGTGTGAATAGGTACGGGGATGAGAGATGTAGAGGGGTGTGAAGGGGAAAGGGAGGGTGCAGGTGTAACGCTTATCGATGGTGACCCCTACATGGGTTAGCGGGTCCTGTTGCTGATTGCTTAAGTGTTCCCACGTCCGTCTAAGTAGTTTTTTCCCAGTGTTGCCATTTCTTGCTAAATGTGGCATATGTGTTATGTAGATGGGCCGTCATTTTGCCCATTAAGTAGTTATCCTTAATTTTGATGATATCCTTGACCATTGATGGTGTTTCCATACTAAGCCACCCTTTTGCACTCCTTGCTACCACATGAGAATATAAGTCCCTTTTACCCATCAAACCCCACTAGCAAACATCTGTGGAAGTTTTCACCATTCTGAATTGTCTTACAGGAGTAGTATACCACCTCATGACATCTTATATGACTGTTCCTGTAAAGTCACGCATATGGGGGAGGCAAGGGGGGGAAGAAGAGTGCCATTCTTTAATCTTTGCAAATTGTGATGACAAGTAGTAAAGGTGTAAGTTAGGTAAGCCCATGCCGCCTCTCCCCTTTTGGTCGATAAAGTAAAAGCAATGTTAAGAGCATATTCCCCCCCCATATTCACTTCTTAATTTACTACAATTTCCTATTTAGTAAACAAAAGTTCAATGTGATGCTTCCAGCTTCATTCTGAGTTTTTAAGAGGTATAGGCCAAAACAGATCTTATTTTCTGTACTTTCAACATGGACGAAAGACTGAGGATGTTGCCTAATTTGTGTAATGTGCTAGACACTAAATATAAAAATGAGAACACACACATGCCGAGAGCTTTGCCGTGTGATTTTCTGTTTCCAGGTCATATGTGGGGAGGGGGGAGAGGAAGAAAACAGTCTGATGGTAAAGAAAGTGGTTGGTTAGTAAGGAAAACACATTGTGGATTAACCAAAACTCATTCATTCATCCTTGACTAGAAAGATATTATATTATGTTAAAGTCAAAGTCATCTATACAGGGTACAACTGTAGACCGAGGCTGGCAAACCCCCATACAAATATAGAATCGAAAAAATATGGTCCAGGCACTGAAGGATGACTTAATAATAGTTTTAATGAAGATCGGTGCGTATTACAAGCAGCGACGTTTCAACCTCAAATTAATTATTGATCAAGCTAACACCACAGTGCCAAGACAAAATATACAGGCCGTATAATTAGTACAAATTGAATACAATCGTAATTGGTACACTTGCTCAGACTTCCCAGTTGGCCAAACCATGAAATCCAAGACAATAGGAAAAATAAATACATTTGAGCCACTAGGCACAATGACCGCAATTCCTCCCGACGCACGATCACATAAAAAAAACGCGATGAAGTGAGGTGTACTATTGTTAATAGACGCTTTACCAATATTGCGGCAAACGCAGGAGAAAAGTCACAAAAAAGCAGGAGAAAACAAGTCATTGCTAACCACTGATGTCATGATGCGCTACTGTTTTTGCTTGTGACGTCATCCCATAGTCGCGTCTTTGCAGGGTTAGCCTCAACTTTTTCCTAATTCTTTACCTGATTCACACATTCCATTTATTATTAATTAGAAATCACACAGAAAGAGGTGTAAGAACATGATCACATTTCTACAAAGGGGATTTAAGCCCCACCTATGCAGCACATACAGGCTACGAACTCCAATTGCACTAGTTTTGGGTGAACACCATCCAGACCAATATCTCTCTTTTTTTATTATGTGTACCTAGGCCGTCCCACTTAGTATTTATCACAATGTATCAATCACAATTCACCTCTTTATCCACTATTTATGCACTTTAAGCCACGAACATAATTCAGACAATAAACAAAAATAAAATAAAAACATTTAACCATTCTGTTCACCCAGCCCAACACTGGGTAGGGAAATGCCAGCTTGTGACGTTATTTAATTTAATTTCTAGTTTGCTGTATTTAATACAACAGTGTTAACTGGCTTCTTTTAACAAACATGAGGGAATGATTAAACACCGCTATTACATTAAAGGGCATTAACGGACACAAAATACGGAAATCAAAAAACATACACAAAGGACACAACAGAAATCAAGGGCTGTACTAGATTACCATATTTTTTTTCAATTTAATTTTGAGGGGCTTTCACCCTTTGTGTGCTAGGAACCAACAACGCACCGGAAAAGATGACAATGCCTTGTCCAACCTCTAGAACTCAGCCTTCACAGCCAGATAACACACTGTAGTAAAGAAGTATTGGAGTAATTCAAACGTTGGTGCAAATCTTGCGTGTAAGATGTAGTCTAAACGTTTTGACAAAGTGCAGATACAAATCTTGCAGTACCTCATACAGAATGGAAAACAAAGCACATACCCAAATGTTCCATAAATTGAGGAAATTACACATCCCAGGAATAGAAACCGTTCAATACGCTGTGCTGGTCCATGCAAGAAAGCAGCCAGCTGGCTATTAGACTACAAATCCCAGCATGCTCAGCCATAATATGCACAACAACAATATTATCACAAGCCTTAGCAGCCTCTCCATGACCAGAGTTGGCCAAATGCCTTACCATGTCATTCTTGGCATGTGATTAGCCTTCAAGGGGTTAATTCCAACACTTGTTCTGTCAATATAATGCTTTCTAAACTCTGTTGAGCTATACTATGTACAGTAGTTAAATGTTCTGATCATGCACAAAGAGGGCAAAATTAGGTAAAACGTTGTATAGGCAGAACTATGGCAGGATTACAGACAGCTGGATACATTTTTAATTTTTACATTTTTTTTTTTTTTTTTTTTAAATTAAGGCCACAATGCTCTTCCTCAATGTAAAGACCATGTAGTTGAATTATAAAGCGTTACCAATACCAACCCACATGCTTAGGTCTCCAGAATGAAAGTATTCACATTTTAAGGAAGTTGAACAATAGCCAAACAGAAGAAACCACTTCTCGGCTGAGACCTGAAAAATGATTATTGTTAAAATCTCAGTTTATGTTTTCAAGATGGTGCCTGCTTTAAAAAGCATCCTTTTGTTTCTATCATTACTCTGGTCTCTGGTAATAGATTCTAGAATCCCACTGTCATAATTTACGAAGAGCCTCTTCCTTGGGTGAGGTTGCAACACATATGATAAGCTTTGTTAGTTACAATTACCTAAAATGGTTACTCCAACCACGATGAGAACTTCAGTGATTTAACGTGGCCATGGTGCTGGAGTCTGGATGTGCAGTGTTTCTGCTTGGAACATGGCGCAATCAGAGTTATTTGCACTTGGTTTGCCGAGGGGCTAGTTACAGTCCCGTTACGTGTGATTTAGGCAACCTGCAACTCTTCTGGGCTAAACTATATACTATATAAATAGGCAATTGAACACATAGAAATAGAAAAAAATCACATCACGTTACAGCGAACATAACTGTTATACATAAAACCAATGTCTTTTTGTGCCAAAAATTGGTTTGTACCCGTCAAGGTTTCATTGGGCTTACAGTAGAGAAACAACTTTTAACATCTTCATAAAATGGGAAAAACATCTATACATCTTCATCCAAAATCCAAACAGTGACCCTATTGGAAAACCGGTTTGCTGACGAGTCAAGTCTGTAGCAGTGCTTAGCACTGCTCTCCTAACCTTACTGTACCTACTCCAGAGGTGTTTCCATTACCATTTTTATGTCTCATAAATGGGATCATGTAGGACTGTTTTAATAGGCCACATGAAAAAACAAAAGCAAAATGGAGAAACTCTGCCTTTAAAGGGTGTTTGTACCGTTGGTGCTCGGTTTTGACAAACCCTGCTCTCCAGCCTGACGGGAACCGTAAAATCTATTCCTTTTTGAATCGTTAGAATGCAATTTACGATTTCATAACATATGACTTCAGTTAGCATGAAATTCTCGCTGGAGACTTGGAGATGGAAGCAGTGTCTCTGCCAGTGTCTAGTAACAGCTCTGCTTGAGCCAAGGTTTACAATTTTCCAACCCTTGGAGATTACTGTTAGCAGAAACCATTAGTCTGCCAGTCTTCGTGTGCCGTTTTGGGTTTTTTATACGGTATTCCCTCATGACATTCTTCATTTATGCAAACCTTGCGTTCGGGAGATCCAGGGGGTCTTCTCAAGAAAACAGTTGAGATTATCTCAAGCCATTATAATCTGCTGCTATTATCTGGTAAATGAAATGTGTGTGCTTGGGACTGTTTCCAATATATTTGAATGTAAGGCACTGACAACCCCACTTTTGGAATCAACATATTTCTTAAAAACGATAGGGCAATATTTTATGAGGCTGATTGATCAATCACAGTTATTTGACATGAATAAATATAAACAGCTACTATGAAATAATGTATTTTACATATTCAGGCCCTAAATTTCCAACGGACAATAGGCACATCCATGCCTAGTGTTCCATTTGTGGTGAAGTACTAAGCTAAAACTCAAACGTGATGGAGCATTTTAAATTATGTACTTGGTATACCACAATGCGTGTACATGTGTGATTTAGGTGTTAAAAGATGCAAGTGCAATCACTCAGTTCCATTTGTATATGGCACAGGATCTAAGGCTCAAGGGACCCAGATATGTACTAACTGCTACACTGAATAAAATAGCTTTAATTGTATACGTTTACTAGACACACAATTACCAGTGCAATGGGCAGATCAATGTTCCAGGAAGGCAAAATGGGACAAGTCTCTCTGGACCAGTGGGACCAAAATGGCAGTGGGGATTGAGGATATCCGTCCGGCTCTTTTTATGTATATGTATTCAGTGTTCTTTTTTTGTATCAGTTCTTTTTTCACTTTTGTAATTTCACCATGGTTCTGGATGGCTGTGTTTAAATTTATGTAGTAAAAAACAAGAGGAGGAGAGTGGGGTTCGGGACAAAAGCCTAACTAAACACACTTGAAAATTATTCTGCTGCAAAGTTTCTATTCTGCATTTTGTTCTGATGCCTTACATATGCTTTGTTATTTCTGTATTGGAAATGGATCTTGATGTGTATATTACTTCGTACTCCACTTTTTTCTATTTTTTTTTTTAAATCATTTTAAAATATCAGCCACTTGTATGCTGGTGAGGGCAGGTCATAATCAATGACTTTATTTTAGACAGCACACCACAGGACGAGACGTTATTCAGGTAATTCCGTTGGCATGTGACTTCTACATATTGTTTGATGACCCTTATTTATAGGCTGGTTTGCAGGGAATGGAATTTATGAGCGCATGGTTATAAATCAGGCCCAACCAGGGGTAACGTTACACAATTTAATTACATAATTGCGAAAAAATATAGTTCCCATAAATAGATGCAAATATACGATACACAAAATCTCAGCAGAAACATGAAAAAAATATACGTCAATCAGATCATCCATTTATAAAAGGATAATATATTAAGAGGATGATCTGTATGAACAATACAGGATGTCGTGTAGTAACGTATGAAATAAATATGAATGTCTCTTGTGTATTTGGGGCATTATACAGGCCACGTTTTTTTCTGTCTGTTGTACATGTGCCACGTGGGTGCTGTATGAGATATTGATGGCCAGTGGGTGCTGTATATGGGTGTAGTTAGGGGCACTGACATTCTTAGTGTGAATACAAGGTGTCACGTGATATTAGATTTTGGTTCCAGCTACTGAAATTAAATAAAAAACGGTCAAATATTGCTTTAGAAAACTGTACAAATGTAAAATGATCTTGTTAAATTTACGCAAAAAAAAAAAAATATTTAAGGTTTATTATATATGTCTAAGCATCTATTTTTTTTCCTTCTAGTTTTGGCATCAAAGCTTTGGCAAGCAGAAGGCTAATTATGGACACCGACCTCTTTTCATCATTTCATTGGCATTAACCGGAATTTAGCCCTGACAGGAATCAAGCCTACATGAGGTAATCATGCTAATGAGAATTGCAGCAGCAGCAGCGGTAGTGTGTGCATTCCAATTCAATGTTACAACTTAAATAATAGGCTTAAAGTGGACCTAAAAAAAAAAAAAAAAATAAAACAATTTTTTTTTCTTTCTTCAGTGGTGTAATAGTGTGTGCACCAAAGCTGTCCAACCTACGGCCCCCCAGATGTTGCTGAACTACAACTCCCATGATTCTTTCAATTAAAAAGATAGCCAGGGAATCATGGGAGTTGTAGTTCAGCAACATCTGGGGGGGGGGCGCAGGTTGGACAGCCCTGATGTACACAATAGTTTTCTTATTGCCCACTTACTCTTGTGTTTGTAATACTGTATTTCCTATTCTGCACCTGACTCATTCCCGATTGGTCACTTAATATGGACCTTGTAACATGTATTCTATGTAGTAGAAGCAAAAGGAAATTCATGTTCATAAAAATCACTATATTATGAGCTCTATTACAGATTAATTGAAATATACCACTAATATTATTAACCATTATATTTACACAGCTCAGCCACAGCATTAAAACAACCTGCCTTATATGTAGGTTCCTCTCACGTTACCAAAACAACTCTCTAAGCAGATCCTTCAAGTCCTGCAAGTTGCTAGGTGGGTCCTCCATGGATCAGATTTGTTGTTCTAGCACATCCCACAGATGGAGGAATTTGGAAGCCAAGGTAACACCTTGAAGACAACATATTGAACCCGTTGTCATGTTCTTCAACACATTTCCTGAACAATTTTTGCAGTTTGTCAGGGTGCATTGTCTTACTGAAGAAGCTACATGGTAATACTATTGTCATGAAGGAGTGTACATGGTCTCCAACAATCTCTCTTCTTTGCACCACTTTTGGTTGGTACCAACACACCGCATACCGGGCACACCTTATAAGACTTGTCGTTTTGGAGATACTCAGACCCATTCGTCTAGCCATCACTACTTAGGCCTTGTCAAAGTCACTCGGATCTTTTCAACACATGAAATTCAAGAACTGACTGTTCTCTTGCTGCCTAATATTTCCCACCTCTTGGCACGTGCCATTGTAATGATATAATCAATGGTATTCATTTCACCTGTCAGTGGTTTTAATGTCGTGGCTGATCAGTGTACTATATACAATGTTACTATTAACTGTTGTATATTTTACATTACAAAAAACACTGTGGTGCAAAAAATGAGCCGTTACTATTCTTTTATATAAGGTACAGAAAGTCAATTGGTCTACAATACATATTTTCCCATAACCCATAATATTATCTTACATACATACAATACATGCAAAGAAGCAGAGGAATGATTACCCATTAATATGTCCACAGAGTTCAGTCGAGGCCTTTTTATTCTGCTGAATTTAATGCTTATTTAAAAATAAGTATTCATGTACATTGGTGATGTTTTTCTGGAACAGAACTACCCAAAGATCATTCCCAAGCACTACATACTCTCTAGGAGGCAATGGCAAAAATCACACAAATCATAAAATTGTTTATCCCTGTACTGTTTAGAAAAACAGGTCAAAGCTTGACTTGAGATACTCCGTCACAACTTGAAGTGATTTATATGCTTTACAATGACGGTAAATAGACTGGAACTGGTATTTGCCTCCTTAAGAAGGGCCTCAAGCTTGTCAGCATGAAATTAAGTTATTTTATCACAAATTCCCTGTAGGGTTTATTTACCCATTGTACAGTGCTGACATGGATGGTAGCTAGCATGTTGCAAATAAACTAAATGTTGGGTAAGCATTTTTCTGTTTACATCTCTGTGTGATACCAGTTTGGCTTTATATAAAAGAGAGTCCTGCAATAATGCTAGGTTACGTAATATAAACACAAAGATAAAGCAACCGCGCTTACAGCAGGAGTAGCTTAGGTTACATAATATGCTTTTGGTCCGAAAAAAATAAAAATAGTTTGTGAATAGTTTAAAAAGAAGTACTATAGCTCTTATAACACTACATTTGCCTTTTTCTGTAGTTGTTATGGTGCTAGGGGTGTCCTGTCATCCTCCCACAGTAAACAGTTTCATTTGAGGACTTACCTGGATTCTACTGGGTGCCTACCACTACCTCCCCGGCTGCCTTTTAACCAAGACAGGGCATTGCTCAATTGCGGATAAACAATGAATGCAGCTTTGCATGGCTGGGCTTAGCTCTGTGGTAGGAACACCTGGCTGCAGGGGAGGTGGCGATGGGAGCCTGGCATGTCCAGATGAGTTGTCCTTCCATTCTTAAATGGTGAGGACGCCATGGCACTACTAAGATCACAACCACTACAATTGACTGTAGTGATTCTGGCGCTTGCAGTGTTCCTTTACGTATTCCCAGTTATGGCGCTTAAAATATAAATAACCATATATAAATAAACTGCATGGGTTAATATACAGTGGAAGTTTAATCCCCTGTGAATTGTCCTCTACGTGGCAAGTCACGTTCAGAGTGTAATATTATCGGTTAGAAGATTTGGAAAATTTGAAGGAGCAAAAGTAAACCAAATTAAATAAATTAGCTATATAGGGGTCATTTACTAAACTAAGTATGTATTTGACAAAGGAATGATACATTTTAGGAAAAGATAACCAACTCAGCCTATTTGGACTGATGTTAGCAATTCAATAACCGATCCCAGTGAAATTAATAATTTAGTGAATATGCCCCCCTTAGTAAATAAAGGCTATAGCCATATGTAACTCTATAGAGCACACTCGCTGTTGTAGTCACATGATTTCTTAACTGACCATCTCCAAACAAGCAACAATATTGTCCAGACAAAATAGGTTGAATCAATGACCGACTGTGCCATCATAATAATTTATCAATAATTATTTTAAATTGTAACTACCCACTCCTCTAATGGCTACAGGACACTACAAAGCCACCCAAGGCAAAAGAACAGGAAGTTCTACGCAGGCAAACAGTCTTTGGAAACAGAATTGTGATTAATCTAATATGTTATCATTAAGGAGTTAAACTATTTTACTAATTAGTGACATATTAAAGGATACTTATATTTCAGCCAATTAAGATTTTTTTCCCTAACCAAACAGAAGGCTCTGTGTGTTCTATTCTTTACACAGTTTAACTGTAAAAAAAATTTAAAATACTAAAACAATCTTGTTTCATTACAAGATTATTTTTCTATGTATGCTGTCCAATAATTTAAATTTTGGCAGCTGGTTAGCCATCACATGTGGATATTAACTACATGTCCTGAATTATCCTTTAAACCAATTTCCAGATAATTCAGAAATACCAGTAGTCAAGATATGAGTCATAATTTATTCTATACCATATTCTGAATGTCCAATAATTTCAAAGCGAGACATACATTATGGCACTTGCCCAGTATCACTTTCATCAAGACACATGCGGCCAGCATAATCTGGTAATGAAAATCAATGCCAATTTTGCAGATGATGATGCAAAGAGGTCCCTGGTTACTGAGTCAATATGCAGCATCTAATACCTGCTGTGTCGTGTAAAAGTAACAGCAGCTATAAGACTGACATTTCTCCCTCTGATGTCAAAAGAAAAAAACAATCTTCCACACTTGCAGTCAACGTCCATCCAACTTGTACATACAGGGTGCGCTGGCTATGCACAAGAGGGCGAGTCACTATGCCTCTCCACCTGACAAAACCATGAAGGGGGCACAATAAACTGTAAGCCTGGCCCTAATCCAGGTTTTTGAAAACTGGCATTAATAAGGTGGAAAAGTGACTTTCATACAATGAATACAGTTGAGGAAAGAGCAATCACCAATAGTCTATTTATGTTCAAGTAGTCCTAAACTATTTAACATTAAACCAGGGTACTTTAGATCACAAACTCACTACAGCAACTGTAGTAGTTCAGTTGTTTAGCTCACCTATTTAAAATGCATTTATATTATTTATATTATTATTTTTTATTTTATTTTATTTGTATGATTAATAGCAGGGGTTCCCAACCCAGTCCTTAAGTACCCCCTAACAGTCCAGGATTTAGTGATTACCCAGTTGTGTCAAAGTTGCTATTAGAAGAAAAAAAAAAAAAAAACAGCTTTCGGCACAACAGGATAATCCCTAAATCCTGCACTGGTAGGGGGTACTTGAGGACTGGGTTGGGAACGCCCAATTTATATGAGGCTTTAAAATAAGAGTCCATTCCAAAATAGGATTTATTTATTTTTTTTACATATTTTTTGAGGCTGCTGTGTTTTCCATATAGAATTTAGAAGACATTCACAGTCACTGATCCTATAGACTGTAAGCTTGTTTGAGCAGGGTCCTCTTCAACCTATCGTTCCTGTAAGTTTTCTTGTAATTGTCCGATTTATAGTTAAATCCCTCCTCTCATAATATTGTAAAGCGTTGTGGAATCTGTTGGCGCTACTTAAATGGTGATGATAACAATAATAATAATAAGCAGGGCGTATTAAAACATTTTCGGATTAGCCTTCCTGTGTCAGTAACTGCAGTTAAAAAGAGATGAAAAACCACAGGAGTGCAGTATTTATTGCGCAACATTTAAAATGTAAACAGCATGGTCATCCAATTACTTTCCTATTAAATATACGATAATAGTTTTCTATAGGAAACATCCCAGACTCTTGCACAAGCCCCATGTATCATTTATATAGCATTTGCCAAAGCTGGTTATAGACCCCATTAATCCCCTAATTTAGCATAGTGTTTTTTTTGTGCCTCGCGCTATATTATTAACAGCCTAATGGCAGAAAGCCCATCAATCTTTCCTGGTAAAGCACACCTTAATGCGACCAACTGTTTACAAATAAACCTTGCCAACTGTTTGCAAACAAAGTTGTCACAGATTCCAGACTGTCTCCATAGAAGCCAAGGCCGGAATCTGGCTCAAAGCATAGTGTTCGAGGCCTGGCTACATAGTTCAAATACCAATGGATACTTTATACACCAAAGCTGGAAAGTTCCTCTGGCTTGTTGTTGGACTAAAACTCCCATCACCCTATGACAGTTTATTTTATTACTATCTCTGATATAAAGTGCAAGGGAAGGGGTGAGGCTACAGAACGGGCATATCCTGGCACCAAGAACAGATGGACTTTTACAAGTTATTCTTCCTTTTCTCAATGTGTCAGCAGACCCGTAACCCGTCATGTTCCTATGATGGAGACATGGCTCACCCATAATATATTATATAATATTCTGCAGAATTTAGCAGCATCTTTGGCTCAGTTAAGGTGTTTGGATTTATCTGAGATGTTATATTTATATTATTTTATTCAGCAAGCACTACTGTTTCCCCCTTATCTTTTCCCACAACGCATTGTAGAAGACAACAGAGATGTTAAATCTTCTTTGGGGAGGGTTGATAATGGGGCATTATTACTTTGAGTGCTTGTAGCTCACTAGAAAGAACACAGCACAAAGGTAGGCAGAGGCAGCCACAATCTAATTCAAGTTAAGGTTTGTAATGAGTTCATGATATAAATGTAAGTCAAGGACTGCCAGTAACTACCGTTATATTCATCGGTTATCGGAGCGTTCCCCCTGGCCCCCTCCTCCACCAGGATTGCGTAAACTAACTAGAAAGTCAACTCAGAGCAGCTGTGAGCAGTTTGGCATTCAATGAAACTACAGAATTTTCGCTGTAAGCATGCACCCAAAATGCTCTTAACCCCTTACCATGACATCTCCAATTTGGGATTCACAGAACAGCTCTACAATACTCCAGCAACATACAGAAGTCTGTGTCTTCGAATACATTTGTAGGGTCAGAGAACCACAGAACATCCAAAGCACCCTGTCACTGTCACCATCCTGTGATTAACTGACCAGATGTGAGGGAGCATGAGGGCCTGTGTTATTTGGGACTGTTTTAAGGTCCTTAAAAATATGTAAAGAGCATAGGAACATTCCCACTACAGATGCTTCTTGTATTTCATGATGAGGAGAATATTTACTCGACAGCTGGATACCATAGGAAAATACCAAAAAGAAACCACAAACCGTGAATGGCAAATACCATGAAACAAACTTTACCAACAAACACAGTCTGAGGCGGACAGTGAAGGGGGAGAGATCTTCCAGCAAGTTGCCTCATGAGTTTCATGTCCAAAAGTGCTTACACATAAAAAAACAAAAATGAAAAAAACAACAAATCTCTTTTCCTATTATACTGTGAATGGTTTTCTTTAACAAATGAATTCCAGATTTAGTTACCTGAACTTACCTCTCTTACTGTGACAATACGGTGAGAAACCAAAAGGCTGAAAATTGAGTCAAATCTCACTTTTGCATGTGGTACAAAAATAATACTCTGATATCTGTACCTTACACTAAGACTCAAATATTATTATTTTTTTTAAAAACAAACTAAAAAAAAAAACAAACCTAAAAATGTTTTGGATTAATGAACTACAATACAGGGATACATCGTTGCTGGGGAAACATGCAGTGAAAATCTCCATTTGGACAGACATAGACAAGCATGTTCCACGGATAAAGCAAGGATTGTTCTCCATCACTCCTAGTTTAGCAGTATTTTTGGTGTTTTACAACATGTAATGACAAGGAGAGTGAGTGGGATTGTGCCTGAGGACAATGGGGACTTCTAATACGCCTTCCTCCCACTAACTCACATCTCTCACAGATTCTTAACTGTGGCACTCATGTTGCCAATTCCTGTTAAAACTGGCAGTTCCAGAACGACCGTTATGATGCCGTAACGAAAGGCATGCCGTCTTGTTTTTACAGTTGGAAGCTGCCAGAACTGGCTCTCCTGGAGGGACAGGAAATAAGGACGTGGGGTGTGGTGGCTATTGTGGTGGAAAGTGAAGTAAAGGAATAGTGAGTAAGATGGAGTTGGCTGTGGTACCAAATGTGCATAAATAAACCAGTTTCAATCACTGTGAATGATCTGATTTAAAACTGAATTAGTCCAATACTAGAGAACAATTTGGGAGGCCAATGGGACTTCTATAAAAATAAAATGTGCGTCAAACATCAGGATGCGGGAGGGCGTAAAGGTGGTACAAGCAGACAAACACTTCATTTGGATCAATCACCGTGGCAATCCAACAAATGTTTTTGCGTCTACTCGTTACTATGGAGATTGCTCCACAGAGATGCTTTGCAAATCATTAATCTGAGAAGAAAAATAAAAATTGGTTCCAAAATTTTACATGGGGTATGTGGTTATTTTTTTCCAAACACGATTTCTTAAGACGAAGAAGAAAAAAACAAATATGTTCTTAATTTACATTCTCCTGTTGCAACTGGCACATGACTATTGCAAAATGCTAGAACATGGAAGTTTAGGCATGTCAACAAGAGCCTTTGAAGATCAACACACTTCAGTTCAAATATGTGCCCATTATCATAAAAATGTCCTAGGTCCCATTTAGATCTTAATCCCCCCTGCTACCTCAAGAGACCTGCTGATTCTGTAAAAGCAATACCAACATCGAGCATTACAGTGACCGGTCACAATCCAATCATTATAACAACCTACAGTATGTATCTTGGATGTAATATTTTCAATCAATTAATGAGTTCTGTATGGTAATATTTTGAACGCATCTATAACATATTGTATAAAAGCTTTCACAGAAAACAAACAAAATCGAGCTGCAATGTTCATATTTTTTTTTAAGTTTTAATGGTTCGGATAATAGAAATACCAGATTTAGGAAAACATAAAGGAGTATACTGTTTTCAATGTCCTAACAGGTTCCTATACGGATAGAAATTCTGACCTTTGAACACTGCCACCACATGTGGATGTAGTGGTTAATGTGGCCATAGCGTCTCAAGTATTAAATCGGCAGTAGTGTCTGTAATGTTTAACAAGGATGGTGTGCCACCTCAGCCAGGTTTTATGTTCTGAGATTGAGGACTTAGGAAGAGATTCCCTCATAACTTCTCAATGTATGCCTTACGGGGTTTCCCTGGCTGAGATTGCTGGGGATGGGTTAACCCAGTCTCCACTGTTTGGACAAAATGGACAGTGATGATGTAGATTTGTTCATTCTTGCACTGCACAGAAAATCCTTATTGTCCCATTTTCATGGAAGTATGAGTATGTGCAGTTCAGCTGTCAAATTCCTGTTAGAACGGTCAAGTATAAAATAATCTATTTGTAATTTTAACTTGCTGAGTTGTTTCATTCATGTTTTCCCATGAATGTAAATACTCACAAGGAAGCACATACACGACTGTTGTATTGTATCCAAGCTTTTCTTTGAGAGAGCTTGTACAAGTTAGTTTAGAGATACACAATATCATGAAGGGCTGAGTGGATACAGATCAATACATTTTAGCATACTAAAGCTGAACTAGATTTAATAGCAGACACAAGGAGATAAACGCAGAGCAATAAGCTATTCACAACCTAAACATATGTAAATCTGGTGTTTGGGGAGTTTATTTTTTTTCATAAAATATTTGGACGAGTCTTGTTACAGATACTCAACTTTGGGCTGGTTAAACAGCTCACCTGACATTTGTATGACTGCCAGCACTCACATCATATCTGTACTCCTACATATCCTACACAGATCTTCTAGTGCATGCGCAGTGAGTTGCCACAAGAATGTAGTTGTGTTTCCTAACAGCCGTCATGTCCTGAAACCGCTTCAAAAATTTAAATAAAGTCTGAAATGGTTTAGGATTTCTGGAATTCGTTATTATAGTAAATGGGATTCTAAGTGACATAACCATCACAGCAGATTAAAGGGACACCATAGGCACCCATTTCAGCTCATTGAAGTTGTTTGGGAGTCCCCTTACCCCTGCAATGGTAGTTATTGGTAATTATTGCAGTTTTTAAGAAATCAGACAGCCACTAGAGGCATTTATACAGGTGGTTAGGCGACCATGAGGACATCCAGAGTCTGTCAATTCCCCATAGGAAAGCAATGCAGCAATGTTCCCTATGGGAAGGGTCTAATGCGCTTGCAGGGTTAGCTGCTCATGCGAATTAGCACTCCCGTCAGGTGACGTTGGAGGTGTCAGAGCGCCAAGCCAACACCTCTGTGCTGGGATCAGGTAAGTACAGTAATGGTATTTTAACCCTTACTTTGCCTGAGAGGTGGGAACGAGGAAGCTATAGCGCTAGGAATACAACTTTGATGTTAAAGGGATAATATAGTGCTAGGAATACAGACTGTTTTGGAAAAGTTTGGCAAAAGCAGAGGCTCTTCCCGGTGACCAAACAACGCCATCGTCTTAGACACCGTAATCATGTTGATTTACAACTTCCGTGTTATCAATATCCGTTTATCCAGTATAGGACTAATCTGCTCCCAGCTCTCTCAGCCAGTCATTTCAATCCTAGTTGAATAAAATTCTATTAATAATGCAGCACTGTACGATATGCATTAGTAATGTGGCCGAGGAAGGGGCAGCCTCCAAAATTCAGGAAGAGCCCTGGTTTATGTCAAACCATTTCTATACGGTTTGACATTACACTGGGGAATGCGCATAGACTCTCCAGGCTGCATGACAACTGCAGCAAGTGATTATGTTTCACAGTGTGTCCCTTTAAGTAATCTTTGTTTTATTTAAAAATTATTTTTGTTTTGAAATTTTAGTTAAACAACTTGGTTTATATGTTGTCAGTGCTAGAGATACTGTGTCATTAACCGACTGGTCACAGACCAAACATAAATAGTAGATTTGGGATTTTTAAGAGGATGCATTCTAAAGAATAAACACTGGGTTTGGAATTTTCTATGCAGTTCTAAGACCGTGTTCAGTTTTCAAAGCACTGAATTAACCATGATCATCTTTGTTTCAATATACACTTCAGGTCACGAAAAAAAAAAGTATGTGGGGAAGGAGGACAGTGTTTTTGGCACTCCTATTTGTTTAGACTGGTATGATATATTCCTATATGTCTACAACCACACCAAGAATGGAAATAGATATGTCTTTGGTCCAAATAGTAGAAAGGTTAAAAGACCACTATAGGCACCCAGACCACTTCAGCTTAATAAGGTGGTCTGGGTGCCTGGTCCATCTAGGGTTAACCCTTTTTTCTATAAACATAGCAGTTTCAGAGTAATTGCTATGTTTATGTTAGGGTTAATCAAGCCTCTAGTAGCTGTCTCATTGACAGCCGCTAGAGGGCTTCCGCGTTTCTCACTGTGAAAATCACAGTAAGAAGACGCCAGCGTCCACAGGAAAGCATTGTGAATGCTTTCCTATGGACTGGCTGAATGCGCGCGCGGCTCTTGCTGTGCATGCGCATTCAGCCGAAGAGGAGGAGGAGAGCTCCCTGCCCGGTGCTGGAGAAAGAGGTAAGTTTAACCCCTTCCTCCCCCCCAGAGCGGGTGGGGGCACCCTCAGGGCACTATAGTGCCAGGAAAAAGAGTATGTTTTCCTGGCACTATAGTGGTCCTTTAAGAGTCTACAATTCTGCTATTTTGGTCTAAAAAGCAATCCTTGCTTTATTACGTAAACCCCTACTTTATGTGCTTGGCCAGATGGCCAAGTTCCAGCACTGTTGGGGGTAGTAACACAATGCCCCTGGTACATTTATCATATTCAAAAATGTATATAGATATTTTATAGGGCACTTATTAATGGAACATTATGGAATATGTAATTAATATTAAAGAATTTTCTTCAATTCAATGTTTTTTTTCACTGGCCGAGCTATTTAATTCTGTAGTATTGCAGGCAAAATAATATGTTTATACAATTTTGGGGTCTACCTTAAATTGACTATCCCATTGTTTTGTACAATGTAAAAAATTAGGAGTGCAGGCATTTTCTTGTTCCACAGATTTACAGGGAACATATAGCTACTGCCCAGGTATGTATAATAATGACAAATAATGTATAATCATGGCAACCATCTTTTTTCTCTTACATGTTTATGGTAAGGAAAACAATTTCTTGCAAGGATTTCCAGTGAGCTTAATTGTCAAAGACTTCTGCAGAAAGTCTACCCTGCCATTCCAAGGAACACCCCTGCCTTAGGGGTAAGGGGAACTCACTATCAGTATGAACCAAACACTCAGTTTTTAGTTTAAAGGACCACTAATGGTCTGGGTGCCAGGTCCCCCAGGGTTTAACCCTTCAGATGTAAACATAGCAGTGTCAGAGAAACTGTCTTCCTCTAGTGGCTGTCTTCCTGACAGCCACTAGAGACGCTTCTGCGACACTGAATGCGAAAATCACATTCAGCGTGCAGAACGACCATAGGAAAGTATTGAGAACTGCTTTCCTATGGGCGTTTTTAAGGCGCACGCGGCTCTGGCTGCGCATGCGCATTCCGCTCCACTTGGGAGCTGACGGAGTGGGAAGAGAGGTCACCAACGCCGAGGGAGACTGGCGCTGGATTAAAGTAAGTTGCAGAAGGGGTATTAATACAAACATACACTGGTCTAATTTTTTATTAAAGTGACTTTTAGCACCATAACCACTGCAGCGGTTGTAGTAATTAGGGAGTTAGGCGCCTTGACAGAGTAAATACTCAAACCATTTAGGAAACGTTTGACCATCTACCTTGGTTCTGCTGGGTGTATGGTGCCACCTCCCCGTTACCAGAAGCTGCCACTGAATTAAGCTGTCTGTGCAGTGCCGCACTCATTGGGTAAAAACGCACAGCTGATGCTCTCCGCCTATGAGCCGGTCTTTGCTCAGTGAAGCTAAAGGAAGCTCCTTGCAGGAGACTACAATGGGAGCCCGGCAGGACCCAGGTGAGTTGTCAATTAGCACGCTACAGTGGTTATGGTGGATTGTTCCTTTAAATGGTTCGACTACTTACTCTGGGAGCGTGTCAGATAACTCCTGGCACCATAGCCACTACCAGTATTTACAGGCAAGTTGGCGAAAATGTACAAATAAGCACTTTTTCATACATTTTGCAATTTGACTTTCAATTCAATACATTTTGCAATGAAACCAAGTCTCTACTGAGAAGGCAACTTGTTTGCAATCACACTAGGTAAATGTTATTAATTATTACATAGTCTATAAACACAAACAAAGCATAGCACAGAGAAGCATTTGCCAATGCTTTCAACATAGGATTGGAAGCCAGGCAGCTCCAGCGTTTGCTGACAATTTGAATTTAGATCCCCACCCACTCTCCTCTCCCCTAACCACAAAAAGAAATCTTAATGTACAAAGGATCTCCGAGACGGCTTGCCACATTTGCAGGAATTCTGGAAACAAGTTTGTAAAAAGATCTAACAAGAATAGACTGTCTTATTCTCAAACAAAGCAAAACAGAGATGTACACAATGCATGGTTTACTGCTATACAGTATGGTCATTGGGTGGCAAAGTAAACACACAATACATTTATAGACAGAGGAGGTGCCTGGGCGTAGATATATTTAGTAATGCGAGGGGAAACACTCAGACACACATGGGTTCACTCACCAAACCAGGAATTCTGCAGAATTGGTAAGGGAATAACACATTTTAGGCAAAAATAGCCATGCTTGAAAAACAGCTACAGTTGGAAAAAAATTGGAGATTTTTTTTAAGTTTGGTGTAAAGTTTGCAACCCCCCTTCTCAATTCTGTACAATTCACCATTTTGTAAATAACACCAGCAGTGACTTGCAATCTCTTAGAAACCAACTTCAATACACATATACCTTCCTTGGGATATATAAAAAAAACACAGCCTTTGTTTTCATCTCATAATTGCTTCACCCTGATTTGGAGGATTTACAATGGAATAAAAGGCTACATCTCGGATGTACACAGTCTAAGCCAGAAAGGCGGATATAACCTTTTATTTTTTTCTTTGGCAAACCAAACCCATTCAATACACGTAGGTAAAAACCTCTTGCATTGTGTTTGCTCTGTGGAAGGCCTGCTGTAAACGATAGTCAAGCAATAGTTTTTTTTTTGTTTGTTTTAAATCAGAGCAACTGTACTTTTATTTTTATACTTATTTGGACACCGATACTTGTAAATAAGAGTGTGTCGTCCCTCTAGTTAAATGCTAAATGCAATTTTAAGAATTTATACATAATACGTTGGAAGAAATCTTATGGGGCAAGACAATATTTTTGGCACAGAGCCCAAAACAACTGGAAAATAAATGTACCTTCTCAGCCAAGTTCAGGACCAGATGTGGTTAACGTACAGATTTCTATAGGGGAAGGGGTCAAGGAGGATGAAACTAAATAACAAACTATAAAAAGTAAATACATAAATAATGAAAAAATAAATCAATCTTACCGCTTTCATTTTTTTCAATAACATCTACGACTTCTCCAGTTTTTAGACTGATCTCAGAATTTTCTTGTTTCTCATAGTTCGATACGACAACGTATTGCTCCAAGATCATGGGGTCGCAGTTGCTATCAGCACCTGGGGAAGGGAAAAAGCATGCAGTGAGCCAGCTTCCAGCCATTGCCCCTCGTGAACGACCTACGTCCATCCGATTCATGATAAGTCAACTTGTCAGCCGATTTTAGCCAATCAGAATACAATCTTGGCTCGAAGCATGATTGCAAAGAGCTGGCCATATAGATATGTTCCTTTCTGGCCCTCGACAAGGCAGCAGCGTAGAACATTTGAAGGAAGGAGGAGTGTGAAAGAAAAAAAAAAAAAGAAGAAAATGCAAACAAAACTTAATCAAACGGCCTCATTTTTTTGGCCGGCTGTATCTCATGAAGCTTTCAACCCTGTATGTCAGAAAAGAAAACGGAAAAAGAAAAAAAAAAACACGCAAAGTTTTTCAACGTAAAAAAAAAAGTGTCAGTATGACTAAGTCCTCACGTAAACTAATAAGAATAAGCAAACAGCGTTGCTCTGAAAAAAAGCAAGTTCTGCTCGCTTATGTCTTCAGCTGGAAGTCAAGAGGAGACTGTGAACGCCAATCATTTTCATCTGTACTGTGAGTCTTAAATGGAAACACATGAAGAAAGAGGAGTAGGGAGGGAGGGATGTAAGATAGGAGGAGGGGTAGAGGAAAGGAAAAAAAAAATTGAGTGCTGGATACTGTTTACTTCTAGGCACAAGACCTAAAGTTACGGGGCCAGATTCTTTCTAAGAGAGTTTAAAAAAAAAAAAAAAAACATTCTGGAGCAGTTCTGGTCCCTCATAAACTTTAACTATTTTATTAACCCTTCTGATTACAGAGGGAATAAAGAGTGTTCTGATTACAGAAAGACATTGTAAATGTTGTAAGTGACAAAGAAAAACAGATTATAAAAGGAGAAAAAAAATATTACAAAAATAAAGTTTCCAATTTGTTAATTGTATTACTGTATACTTTGGAGGGAAGTTCAATTTGCAAATTGCACATTCAAATTTCTTAACATATAGTACTACAGAATTCTGCCAGCACGCCTGACATTAATGGAAAGAATGGCGTGATCAGATATAATTTATCTTGGTTTGCTAGTTCTAGCCTATCCATTTGGGCAACTTTTTTTCAATTCTATATAAAACGAACAGTCTCTCTTATTGTAATAAGATGGGGGCATTTACTTATGGAAATAATGGAAATTGGGTTTATTTGCCAATCTACAATGTTGGAGGGACATTCCGAGCACCATAACCACATACACGTCTTTCATAGGTTAGGATGTCAGGGGTTTTCTGACTGCTCTTATTTTATTCATTTGGAGGGGATAAATAAATTGCTGAAGCTACAGGACTTTATCTAGCTACAAGCGGTATTATATTTTTATACAAAACATTATGTTCAGTAGCCAATCCTGGGTTGCAGCTTCCATATGCTTAGATAGTAGTCTCATTCACATTTCATTCATTAATGAAGCCAATTGCAAGAACTACATAAAAAAAACAGCATTCAAAATTAAAATCCTTACAGTTGGAGACTCTCTGAGTTATTTATTAAAGTGAGAATTAAAATATAATTAAAAGTAAACTTCACATTTAAGGCCAGGATAGCAAATTGAAAGCATGGCTGTTTTAGAGGATATGTCCATTTGGCTAGCTGGACCTTAAATTTGAAATTCACTTTGAAGTCTAACTTTAGTGACTAACCAGGTGTATATTCCTCTCTGTCCATGCTTCATCAGCGCAAACTGCTGTTTAGTAGATAAATCCCTAAAAAGCTATTCACAACACCCCACAATTCCTAGGGGGTGCGTGTTACAAGTTGCAAGATCCCATTATTTGGGTGTAGTGAGACTACGCATGTAACTACCTGTGGACTCCACATTTGTAGGCTTAATTGTTGTCATTGCAATAAAAACCAAGGATGTCAAGAAGTTAAAGTGACACTACAGTCACCAGAACAACTACAGCTTAATTGCAGTTGTTCTGGAGAGTATAATAGCTCCCTTCAGGCATTTTCATGTAAACACTGCCTTTTCAGAGAAAAGGCATTGTTTACATAGCACCTAGGGACATGTCCAAGTGGCCACTCCTTAGATGGCCACTGGAGGGGCTTCCTGGCTCAGGGCTGCACAGTAAGCAGCCCTGCCATTCAGCATCCCCACGCTCTGCATGGAGACGCTGAATTTTCCTCATAGAGATGCATTGATCCAATGCATCTCTATGAGGAGGTCCTGACTGGCCAAAACGGCACTAGAAATAAGGTGAGTTTTAAACTTTTATAGGGGGGCTAAGGGTGGGGGAGGGCCAGCCAACTATATGTTGGGTTTAACACTATAGGGTCAGGAATACATGTTGGTGTTCCTGCTCTATAGTGATCCTTTAATGTAATAACTTGTCAACTATATAACTGCCAACAATTTGGATAAAATTATGTATAGATGACAATGTATGAATTTGCATCAGTCATGTTGGGCACTATATGTTTTATCCATCTGAAATAGTAACCGGTATATGGTCGTCTAATTAATATTATTGATTGCTATGACATCTGCAAACTTACCATGGAAATGGAAAAATCCTATGCACAATCTGACCCTTAATGAACCATACAAGGAATTAATGAGTACCGTTCCCAATATGTAGCACTTCACTAAGTTTTAGAACTGGGGGGGCATTGCGCCGGTTTCTGAGTCTTTCCATGCTCACCCAAGATCAAAGAAAGAACTCAAATCACCTACATAGACAAGGCAAATCTGAACTATGTCCTTATTGCTACGATTTGAAGGACACAAAAGACAGTAGTTCCCTATCCCCCTCGGCAAAGAAAAATAAATCACTGTGATACAAAATGAAAAAGGAAATCCAATTATCTGTAAAAGGAACAGAAATGCAGAGTGGTAGTTAGGTTAGGCACCCTGGTTCAGATTCAATTCTACTTTAGATTGAAAATTAATGACATGAATTACTTAATGGATTGGGATATTGGGAAAGAAGGAATGGTTAAATTTATAAACAAAAAACACAACTTGAAAATCTACACATAGCCTTTGCAGTTCATTAAAGGGACACAAAGTACTAAAACCACTGCAGTCTAATGTAGTGGTTCTGGGGCCAAATAGACTGTCCACACAGTGTAAGCTCTGCTTTTCTGAGAAAATGCACGGTTTACATTGCCGCCTAAAGACAGCTTTGTATGCAGTCACTCGGAGAGACACTAGAGGGACTTCCTGGTTGTAGTTTTGCAATCTTTGCATGACCAACATTTGGTTTCTACACACTCTGTAAGGAGATGTTGAACGCTCTTGTAGAGATGCACGGAGTCAGTGAATCTGCATGAGGAGGTATTGATTGATCCCCTCCGTGGGGAAGCGTTGGATTGGCCTGCGTAGGAACGGCTGCGCAGCAAGACTGGAAAACTGGGGGGTGGAAGTTAGTCTAACTAAATATTTTATTATTCTGGCGTGAATCTCAATCGCCCTTACATTATTTCAATGTTAGGAATACAGATTTGTATTCCGAAAGTCAAAGTGTTCCTTTAAGGTAGAAAATTAAAATATTTACTTTCTTCATACTTCTACATGTAATCTAAACTAAGCCTGCAGAAGTACAATAGTGAGCAATACGCATGGTTTCTATACCGGAGTGCATAAACGCTTAAGGACGCTCACAGAACACTAGGAAAACACTGTGACTGGGCAAGTCACATTACTTCAATATTGACTTAACGTAAGAAATGTTTAAACTGCAGTCATTTGAACTTTCATTCACACATCACGCTGTGAGTCACCTAGTTACTAGTCACCTAATTAAAGGGAAATTACTGCTATATAGATTTAAACTGCTGCAAATGCATTCGTAAATATTTCCAGGTGTAGCCAAAATTAAAGGAGTTTTAAAATGATACTAAAGAGTCTCAGTTGGTTAATGAAGTGGTAGGCATTTCCCTATGTATCGTGTCTTACAGCAGTCTTCTGCACACAGAGTGTGCAAAAAGGACGTCACAGTGCAGTGGGGTTAACGGAACACTACAAAAACCATAACAACTACAGATCAGTAGAACTGTTAGACTTCATACCCCCAGATTGCCACTACCCTCTGGAAACTCAATGTCTAAGCTAAGCCCCGCGATGCGGCACTTCGCTCATTGGCTGAAAGCAATCAGCACTAAGCGCAAGCTGCCTGCTCTGTGTTGGCAGTAGTGGAGGTGGGGAGTGGTGCCCAGCAGACCCCCAAGTCGAGGGAAAACTATCAGGTGCCTTTCACATTTACAGGTGTAGACATTAAAGGGACACTATAGTTACCATAACAAATTCAGCTTATTGTATTTGTTTTATTGAATATAATCAGTCCTGTTTCTTGCAGTAAACACTGTCTTTTCAGAGAAGAGACAGTGTTAGCATTACAGCCTAGGGATAATTCCACTGGCCACTCCTCAGATGGCTGCTAGAGGTGCTTCCTGGTGCAGTGCTGCACACTGGGCAGTACAGTCATTCAGTGTCTCCACCCTCTGCATGGAGACACTGAACTTTCCTCATAGAGCTGCACTGATTCAGTGACACTATGAGGAGATGCTGATTGGCCAGGGCTGTGTTTTGGCTTGTACTGGCCCTGATCTGCTTCCTTGACAAGCTCAGCCAATCCAATGCTTTACTATGGGAAAGGATTGTGATTGGCTCAGAATACCACATCTGATGATGTCAGCCAAGGAGGCAGATCAGGGGCAAAGCCAGCAGCAGCAGACTGGATTTTATTATATTTAGGAGGTAAGGCGGCTAGATGGTGGTTGTAACACTATAAGGTCAGGAATACATGTTTGTTTTCCTCAACCTTTGGTGTTCCTTTAAGAACAGGTATAGGGAACCTGCAAATAGAGATTTATTTTTTTTTGCAATACATTGTTCCTTTGTAAAATTAGCTTATTGAGCATATCCTGATTAGTGAACATGTAGTTGCCATTAATCTATAGCATGGACCAGTGGTTCTTGACCCAAATTACGAACGTTCATCAGCAGTCATGGCGTTCATCAACTTCTTCCCTGTGTAACACTTAAAGGGACCCTTTGCGCACCAATACAACTTTAATATATTTGAAAGCTATTGGCCTAATTGATAAGCTGTATTTTTTTATGTGCTCAAATCTTTTACTTATTTTTTTGTAAAAACTATAATGTTTTGCAGAATGCTACACCTGCCTCTTTAGTAACACACGGTCACTCCAGAAGTCTTTATGGCATAAGGGTGCGTGGCTAAGGAGGCAGGCTTATGGTGCAACATTTTGAAAAATATTTATTTATTTTGTGCAAAAACTATAAAGATTTGAGGACAGAAAAAAATATAGCACATTAATGAGGCCAAAATCTATCAAATGCATTAAAGTTGTACTGGTGTGCGGAGTGTCCATTAATAGGTCGACAATTATTGAAATTAGTCCCTTGCAGTGTTAACAGCACATTGTGCCAGTTTCAAATATTTGGGATCAAATTTTGGGTCCTGACCCAAGAGTTAAGAACCACTGGTGTAGTTTGATGGCTAATGAATCTTTGTGTGAATACAATTATATTGAGCATGCACAGGATCAGGGCCGGCGCTACCTTCGGAAGGGGCGCCTCCAGGAGCGCCGCCCCCCCCCCCCCATGCTGCAGCCGCCCGAGCGCTTTGCAGAGAGCCTCAGGCGGCTGCAGCTTTTCCGGGCGGTGCGTTCATTAGGGCGGACCGCACTGCCCGGGCGCAGCCTGAGGAGAGGGGCTGACAGGAGGGAAGCGCTCAGCGCTCCCTCCTCTCACTCCCTCTGTAGTAGCGTGGCCGAGCCCTGTATAGTCGGCGAAAAACAGGGAGCAGCTGTCTCCTGTACCCGGCCGGACTAACAGGAAGTGCACACTGAGTGTTAACTTCCTGTTAGTCCGGCCGGGTACAGGAAACAAAAGCTCCCTGTACCCGTGGACTATACAGGGCTCGGCCACGCTACAACACAGGTAGGGGAGGAGGGGGAAGAAAGAGGGAGAGAGGGTGGAGAAGGAAACAGGGAGGGAGGGGGAGAGAGGGAGGGGGGAGGAAGGAAACAGGGAGGGAGGGGAAAGAAGGAAACAGGGAGGGAGGGGGGAGAAGGAAACAGGGAGGGAGGGGAAAGAAAGAAACAGGGAGGGAGGGGTAGAAAGAAACAGGGAGGGAGGGGAAAGAAAGAAACAGGGAGGGAGGGGTAGAAAGAAACAGGGAGGGAGGGGAAAGAAAGAAACAGGGAGGGGGAAGAAAGAGGGAGGGGAAAGAAAGAAACAGGGAGGGAGAGGAAAGAAAGAAACAGGAGGGA